CCTCAGCCGTCTCCAGCGAGGGCTTCCAGGGCACTCTGGGGCTGTTCATCTCTGGTCTAGCTCACAAAAGGGGAGGTAGCGTGTCGAGGATACACCTGGCGGGTTTATTGACCAGGTCTGGACGCCGCACACATCACTTCTCACATCTTGTTGAAGGCAAGTTGCTCACACAGCTATACCCGCCTGCCAAGGAGCCAAGAGTGTGTTGTTGCTGGGCATGTGGCTACTTCATTACCGTGGAAGAAAGTAGAATGGATTTGGGTGGACGGCCAGCAAGCTCTTCCATAGGCATCTTCTTACAGTATCAGTCGTTATTTTTGAATATGGATCAATTTCTACAGTTTTAATCATTGAAACGTAAAATGTATAAAAGGGTACCCCAAAAAAATTCAAGTCTGATGTTAATCATTTGTTAATGAGAACATATCAAGTATTCTCCTTCTCTTAGAGCTCAAGGTTAAAATAATGAGCCTGTTTTGACTAGCAGCATTCCATGTAGCCTCCAGACTGAGTTGTTTGTATATTGAGAAAAGGCTTTTTTTTTTTTTGGTGTCCTCTATAAAGGCTTTGTCAGCATTTTATAGTTTTAGAAGACAAATTTGTTTTTGCTCCAAGTGGTTTCATGTGCCTCAGTGGTCAAACAGGTTTTGAGCCTAGCTTCAATGCCAAAATGGGTTGGGGACGGGGGAAGAATTGAAACTAAATTCCACAGTCTAAAGCTTTTTTAGAGGCTTTTGCTCTTTTTAAATTTGAGGTTATTTTTATAATTTAGAAGTGTAGTTCTTAAATTTCAGATCCTTCTGACACCCAAAAATTGTCCAAATAAATTATATCATAGCAAATCTGTATGTTTTGAAAGTCACTGGTAGGATTTACATAAGCAAACTTTTCTGGATTAGAAACGAGGCTGTACATGATTTTTTTTTTTTAATTAAAGAAGCAATTTCATTTCATTATACTTAAAGTCATACTCTATTCTTTGCTATTTCTTAAAATTACCTATGTAAAAGATTTCAACTTTAGACAGATACTTAAAAGTTAATGCAATAAGACAGTTTTGTAAGAATTCTATTAACGTCAACCTTTAATAAATGAGAACATTAATGAACTATTCTGACCACACCCAGGGAAGTGTTTTAGGCATAAAACAGTTCAAAACCTTCAAAAGGCATTGAGCCAGTATTTTCTTATAAGACAAGTACTGCTAACAACTACAGAACATTTGAAAGTCCAGGAGCATGCTTCTCATACAATGAAGCATTCTGTATTTCAGCTGTGATTTTGACCTGTTCATTCCATTTGCCCCTTTCCCGTCTCAGTGAAGTAGAGGAGTTCCTGATCTATTTCTTATCTTAATCTTCCCTCCCTAAACCTTAGGCAAGGAATGGAAATCAGAATTTAGAAAACATTTTGCACCCGTGGAAATAGGTATTTTCATTACTGTACTCATAGATCTTTACTTCCCTTGTTCGTTTCATTCCGAAAAAATTGAGGTAGGTTGCCAGTTGTAACACATTCTTCACATGTTCCTGTTTCCAAAAGGTATAGGGAGGGGGGCAACCCACTACCTTAGCAAAGGAACACTGTGTACTAGAATGCTGCTTTAGGGAAAACAGACCATGAATATTCAACAGTCTCAAATGTGTGGAGGACAGCATGAAAATTGGAATTATTGTAAAGCTTTAGGGAGAAATACTGAACAATATTGAAAGTCACTCTTTAATTATATCTATAAAAACTCAGATTGTTGTGAAATCCTTAAACATATGAACCAAACTTTTTTTCTTTTAAGTGGGTTGGGTGAGGAAGTTGAAGAAGTTACTACTTGTTTTTTTGTTTTTGTTTTTTTAATTTTTTTTCCTTTATTGATTTTAGAGAGAGAGGAAGTAAGAGAGAGAGAGAGATAGAAACATCAATGAGAGAGAACATCGATTATCTGCCTCCTGCATGCCCCCCAGTGGGGATCGGGCAGGAAATTGAACCATCAACTTCTTGGTGCATGGGTTGATGCTCAACCACTGAGCGACACCAGCCGAACATTACTACTTGTTTTAACCCTGGAGATCAACTACACTTTTTCACATTTTCAACTGCTTTATACAAAGCTTTCTATTATATAACATACCTATCTTTTTTTAATATAGTTTTCAAAACCTGTATCAATTATATCTTGGTTATTTCTCTTAGGAAAGAAATCAGTCTTCTAACATCTTCTAACTGAAATATCTTTAAATTTATATCATCCTATTATGGTTTGTTTTTTGTTCTTGCTTTCTGAATATTTCTTAGCCTTAATCTAAAGACATTTACGTCTCTTGAAATAGTTATTTGCATATCATTATAAATGTATTTCATTGACACCGTTTTAAAATAATTTGAAGGTAACTGGTTGGGCTTTGCCTATGAATGCATGTTTCAGAACTTTAGGAAAACCTAATACGATTGCACTAGATCTTACACTAAAGATTTTGATAATCTATTGAAGATTACCAATGAAAACAAACAAAGATTCTTTGTCACAGATATATCCCTCTTTATCAGGAAGATCAATTCAGGTAATAAGAGCAATTCTGCTTTGGTTTAATGAGGGCCATTTTAAAGAGGCCTCTTCTAACATAAACTACTCGAACTTTAGAGCTATAAAAATGTGAATATAATTGTCATAATTTTTTAAATGTCTCAGATTTATTCTAAAATTATCTAACTGTAAATGATCTAAGCATGTAAATCAGTGTTCAGTAGCAAATACAAATATTGTCTTTTCAGTTCCTGGGACATCATCCTAACTGTGGACAAAGAGTAGTAAAATAGCCCTGGCTGGTTTGGCTCAGCGGTTGGAGCGTCGGCCCGCGGTACAGAGAGACCCGGGTTCGGTTCCCGCTAAGGGCACGTACCTCGGTTGCAGTTTGTCCCCGGCCCTGGTTGGTCGTGCGGGTGGCAGCCACTCGATGTGTCCCTTCACATCGATGTTTCTCTCTCTCTCTCTTCCTCTCTCTCCCTCCCGCTCTATCTGAACAAAAAATGGAAAAATGTCCTCGGTTGAGGATTAAAAAAAAGAAAAAAAAAAGAGTAGTAAAATACTTCCCATAGGGGTTACATAGTTTTAGAAATAATAATATCAGCAACAACAACTAGTATTCATTAAATGTACCAGGTATTGCTCTAGTGCTTTACATGTATTATCTCATTTAGTCCTCATGACCCCCTGTGTTAAGTATTGTTGCTATCTCCATTTTCCAGATGGGCAAATTGAGGGTCAAATAGGGTCATACAGTTGGTAAATGATGAAGCTGGGATTTAAACCTGAACATTCTGACTCCAGGGCCACCATTATAACTGTTATATTATACTGTCTCCCTAGTTTCTATTCTTTGATGGAGTCTAAGATTTTAAACTTTAAGAATTCTAGAAAAGTTGGCCAAACCAAAATAAATATAAAATAATTCATCCATCAAAGATTTGTTTTCTACTCCAATTTTATGTATATTTTGGGGGGATTATTAATATATGTCAATTATATCATGTCAATGTATGTCAATATATATCACAATGGGGTTATTGTGATCCTTAATCAAATTTACTTTGTGAAGGGTTTTTCATAATGGGAGGTTATAAATTTGTAGATGAACACACATTGCTTCAATATGTGTTCATTATTTTGATGAAAATGAATAGGTGAATTGTGCTTAATGTCCTACCCCTCTTGTTGTTGTTAATTCTCACCTGAGGATATTTTTTCCATTGATTTTTAGAGAGGGTGGCAGGAGTGAATGAGGGAGAAAGAAACATCGATGTGAGAGAGACACATCAATCTGGTTGCCTCTCACACGTGTCCCGACTGAGGTGGGGATTGAACCTGCAACCCAGGTATGTGCCCTTGACCGGAAATGGAACCCAAGACCCTTTGGTGCGCAGGCCGACACTATATCCACTGAGCCACACTGGCCAGGGCAATGCTTAGTGTCCTTTTAATGCAATTGTGAATCTTTTGAGTTCAATAGTATTCAAGGTCAAATCTCCAAGGCAGTTATGTTTTTGATTCTATGAAATGTAAATGTGTTCTTATTTGCTTATTTATAATCTTCCTTCATGGGGATTGCTTACCTGTTCTGTGCTCAGTCATCTGAATTGTTTGTAGAAAGCATTGGCTACTGTTCACAGGGGCAGTCACAAATCTTACAGATAGGCTTTCTGATAAACATTCAGCCCTCTTGGTCAGTGTGAAATACATGCAAAGGAAGTTTCCAATTTGTATTTTTCCATCTTAGCAAATATAAAGATTAATATTAAATATTGCAGAAAGGTTCTTAAGTTAACCCCATTTCTTTTTATGATTATTTTACAGCTTAGGTGTATATTATCCCAGATCATATTGGCAATATGTACAGTCAAGTTCTTAAATAAGCAGAGATTGTTACATCAGTTTCTGATTAGATTCAAGGTCAGATTCCTCAATTCTAGTTCTAGTGCCCTCATAGTCTGGCAATCTGGGTTTTGCTATGTTTAGATATAAAATGTGAATAATAGCCCTGCCATTGTGGCTCAGTGGATTGAGCATCATCCCATGGACTGAGAGGTAGGTCCCAGTTCAATTCCCAGTCAGAGCACATGTCTTGGTTGTAGGCTCAATCCCCAGTAGGGGGCGTGCAGGAGGTGACTGATCCATGTTTCTATCGCTCCCTCTCTCTAAAAAAAATCAATAAAAACATATATTTTTTTAATGTAGATAATACCTAACAAGGACATTATAAGGCACAATGTCCATTTCTATGATGCTGTCAGATATCTTTGTTAAAGAAATGATAAAATTTAACATACGCTTTTATGTAAGTGGTATCTAATAAACTATCATAATTTTACTAGTTTTAACAAACAGAAATAAGAGGACTAGAATTAGTTATATCTACATATTATCTAATTTCTGTTTTAAAGATGGGAGAGTAAACTGTTTCATATGTCTTACCATTTCTACTGGGCAGACATGATTTGTTTTGTTACAGAATATGGAAAGTCTCAATTCCACACCATCTCATGAAAGGGCCAGACCCGCTGATGTTGAACTGATGTCCGATGACAGGTAATTTTGGAATTTTCTCCTCACATTATTTTTTCACTTAATGCAATGTGTTTTATAAGAACTGAAAAGAGCCCTGGCCAGTTTGGCTCAGCGGTTAGAGCGTTGGCCTGCAGTCCGGAGAGACCCGGGTTCGGTTCCCGCTAAGGGCACGTACTTCGGTTGCAGTTTGTCCCCGGCCCTGGCTGGTCGTGCAGGTGGCAGCCACTCGATGTGTCCCTTCACGTCGATGTTTCTCTCTCTCTCTCCCTTCCTCTCTCTCCCTCCCACTCTATCTGTACAAAAAAAAAATGGAAAAATATCCTCGGGTGAGGATGATAAAAAAAATTTTAAAAAAAGAACTGAAAAGAATAGAATTAATGGACTCTGTGTTTACCAATAATATTTTATAGCAGGGAAAATACTTAGAATTAAAAAAAATCTACCCTGATGCTATTAAAGGTAAATACCATAGTCATGGTTGTGTTGGTACTTTTATTTTTACTTTTTGTTTTGTTTTGTTTTTGAATTATATAGGAATTTTACTTAAAGGTACTCAGCCTACGTCTAAAGTAAATTAAATCATAATTTCAATGGATGAAAAGCATTGTTATAAAACAGATTGACATTTTATGATGCTTTGTTGTTGTTTATAGCAAAGAAAATGAAAAAGACAGTGGACACACCCAGCATTTTGAGGTGAGTGGCTAACTGTTCATATATTCCTGACAATATCATTAGCCTGTCAATAGGGATAGTAAGATGAAGTGACAGGACTGTGATTGGTTAGGAAGGTAAATACCGAGACATAAAGGTTACTTGAGAAATCATAAAAACTCCATTCTTTTGCTTTTTCAATTTTTAAATTTTACTTGCTCAGATAAACTTCAATAGCATGGCAATTTCTCTTTATGTTTTCCTTAAACTAAAACAAAAATATCAAAGCTATTGCTTTGATTTTCTATTATTTATGCATTTTTAAGTGATTGAAATAGCCAGTGGGTTTTAGTGGCTCTCTCACAGGGATTATCTCATTGACTTTCTTTTTTTTTTTTTTATCCTCACCCGAGGATATTTTTCCATTTTTTGTTCAGGTAGAGTGGGAGGGAGAGAGAGGAACAGAGAGAGAGAGAAACATCGATGTGAAGGGACACATCGAGTGGCTGCCACCCGCACGACCGACCAGGGCCGGGGACAAACTGCAACCGAGGTACATGCCCTTAGCGGGAACCGAACCCGGGTCTCTCAGGACCACAGGCCGACGCTCTAACTGCTGAGCCAAACCGGCCAGGGCTCATTGACTTTCAAATTAACATGAAATCAGTTCGAGTTATTAAATCCAATTTATTTTCTGAGTTTTGTGTCTCATTTTAAGTAAACAAAATAGGAAAAATTAACTCCCTTATGTTGTCTATATCTTAAAGTTTCGGTGACTTGCCTGGCTTCCCTGTTGTCTTCTGCGGGTGTCACCCTGCTGAACTAAGTATTCGGTTTCCTTGCTCCCAACTCTGGCTTCCATTCAGTGTGCTCAACTCCACTTCTCACTCCTGTGTGATCTACCGCCACATGCTTCCAGCTCCACCTGCATCCTTGCTGTGTTTTCTTCTTGGCAAGAATTAAAGCTTTTCTCAACCTATTCTTGGATTCTGACTCTTGATATATTAATTATACACAGAACGCTCCCTCTAACCCAGTGATTCCTAATCTTTGTTAGGCACTGACCTAATAAATCACTAATTGATTTATTCAAGATATCGAATCCTATTATGTATAGGGACTGTGCTTGGAACTGGGATTTAATAACAGCTGCAGCCCCTGTCTTCACAGCGTTTTATAACCTAGCAGATTACATGTCAGAGAGCTGTGGACCCCCTTCTCAGAAAAATACACATCATGTAAAAGTTGGCATAAAGTTGCTGGAAATTAATGGCGAGCCCCTTCCCAAAGCTATGGGCTCCTCACATGTCTTCTCTTCAATTCCTGTCATGTGGATTTCTTCATGAACCCAGCCAGATAAAGCAGGGGAATGCTTCCCCTTTCTAACTTCTCAGCTTCTGAGCCATTTCTTTCATCTCATATTTCCACCTCCTTTGAGCTGCCTTCCTTGGGACCCAGGCAACAAACTGACATTCTTTTTCTGTCCCTAAGCACCTTTTATTTCAGAGCACAGAGTTCCCATGATAGTATTGTTTTAGTTTTCTTCTGGCTTTATCCTTTCTTGCTCTCTTCCTTAGCTCACAGCAAGCACCTACTTATCATGCCATTGAACGTTATTTTAAAAAAATTGCTTTGCCAGCCTCCTGGAGAGGTCTTCTCAGTTCCTCCCTTTTATGCCCATTATCCTTTATGAGATCAAAGGGTACAGGGCAACCTCTGTGGATGAACTTTATAACATTAACTCACAAATTCCAACTGACACCAAAACTTAATTCGTACTGAACTCAATTTGCCTTGGTATTTTTGTGGCTGGCTCCTGTGGCCGTGGCTGAATCATGGGGAAAGAATCTCAAATCCTTTTTTCATGTGCCAGGACCTATTTTTACACGTGTGACCCATATACCAGTAAGCACCTAGCCCACTGTTGGCACTCCTTAAGCATTCACTATTAATAATCATTGTCATCATAATAATTTCAGCTAGGAAACAAAATTAGGCGGTGAGTTAACATCTAGACTAAGCTCTCTGTGTCACCTTTCACAACGGCACCAAAGGAGGAAAAAAGAGACCACTCCACAAGATGCGGGGCCATGTTTCTGCTTATGAAGGCAGGTGCTTCTTACCCGGAAGGAGTTACATCGTTATTAGTGAAAGCTCCATCTTCCATATCGAAACCTCTTTCCCTGTTTCTAGTGTGTGGTAATTGTTTACTTGCTAACATATGTTGCATTTTCTATGACTAATGATACAACTGAAATAGTTAATCTGGTTTTCCAGCAACACCACAATAATTTCTAAACTTCAGAGATGAAAAATAAGTCTAGACTTTGGTTACCGCTCTTCAAATTCTGTTTAGCCAGTGTTTTATTTCAAGTCTCCTATCGCATCAGAGTGAGATGCCAAAATTTACACGCCAATATTTACATGGTAATGTTTCCAATTTCATTTTGCATTAAGGCAAATTTTTAAATCTTTTTTTAAAATATGTTTTTATTGATTTTAGAGAGAAGAAGGTAGAGGGAGAGAGAGAAACATCAATGTGAGAGAAAAACATCAGTTACCTCCCATACGAACCTCCCATACACACCCAACCAGAGATCCAACCCACAACCTGGGCATGTGCCCTGACCAGAAATCGAACCCGTGACCTTTTGGTGTATGGAACTATTCCCAGCCAACTGAGCCACACCAGCTAGGGCTATTAAGGCACATTTTGTCTTCATTAATATTGTCTATTAAATTCTCCTTGTAAACTCTCACATCCATGCAAGATACAGCAATTGGTACCTATTGAGAAAAGGTCATTTGTCTTTCTTGTTTTGACCAGTATTTCCATTAGAATGAAATGCCCATAGAGAGGCTAGTCTTAAGGTCTGCTTCTCCAAGACAAATGCAGGCACAACGGCAATTATATTTTTTAAATAATCATTTTGCAGCCTTGAATGTGCTTTTGTTTGAATGAATGCGTTGAAAAGTGAAAATCAGCTTACCCTTGTGTTGCACATCTTTTTAATTTCTTATAATTATGCTAATAACTTTATGCAAGAGAGAGTCTGCTGCAATCTCAGATGGTTCTATTTCATCTGAGTCTCGAGTGGTTTGTATTAAAATCTGTTTAGTGACATACTGCTGATAATGAAACACAAAACTGAGTCACTTCAAAATGCCAAAACTGAAGGTATGATTTCTTTGGGTAGGTTTTAGAAATGCAGACCTTTCCATAAAATAATCTGTTTGGGCTATATGAAATGATATAACACAAGGAAGAATCTAGCTCACTGTTCCCTGAATATACAGAGTCCAGAGTACTTCTTCTTTTATTTTTTTTTTCTGTTTTTTACATTTTTTATTTCTTTAATATGTATTTTTTTTATTGTTGAGAGTATTACAGATGTCCCTAATTTACCCCCTTTTGCCCCTCCCCTCTGAGCCCCTGCCCTACCCCAGGCCTTTACCACACTATTGTCTTTTTGTTTATTTTTAAACTAAATTAACATACTGAAAGGATCCAGAAGAATGGTCATTCTTAAAACTAGCTATTTCTAGGTTCTAAAAATTATCCCTGAAAATATAGATTTTCAGAGTTCTCTTTAAATGGAATTTATACCTTATGCTTCAATTTGATTCCTTCTGATGTTATTTTTTTCTTTTTTAAATATGTTTTTATTTTTTAGAGACAGAGGAAGGGAGAGAGGGAGAGAAACATCTATGTGAGAGAGATACATCGATTGGCTGCCTCGTGCACGCCCCCTTCTGGGCATCGAGCCTGTAACCCAGCCATGTGCCCTGACTGGGAATCAAACTGGGACCTCTCAGTCCATGGGACAACGCTCAATCAATCCACTGAGCCACACCAGCCAGGCTGATAAGTTATTGTCTACTGTGGAAATATATTATGCTTCAGTATGAAATCCATAATATTAAAACTCTAACTTTATATTTAATCTCTGTCAAAAAGCAAAACATATAAAAACTGTTAGCCACGTGGGAGGGTATTACATTATCTGGGGGCAGTCATTTTATGTCAGTAGTATAAGGTTAATGAAGGTTAAATTCTTTCAAGATATTTTTACATTCTTTATGCTTTCTAAGCCTACTGCTTAGGAGAGCTTAGAAGCATACCTTTGATAACAAACAAGACATTCATAATAAACAAAAGACTATTTCCCTTTTTCTTATCCTGCTTCAAAAAAAAAGTCAAAAAGAAAGAAAAGAAGAGAGGAGAGGGAGAAAGGAGAGGAAACAAAGCTGAGAATTCATATTGATCACAAGACTAAGTACAGACTTCATTTTGCCCTGAGAAAGTCTGAGAGAGATTCTGAAATAGACCCATTAACCAGTATTTATGAAATGGATGACGCTGTCATTTTAACTTCACGGTATTTCATGGAAGTTTTAGGATTTTGTTGTTGGTTATAACATTAGAACCAGAAAAACCAAAAAGCTTTATTTGTTTAGATTCACTTCCAATTTCATCCAGTCTCGAAAGGCAACTGAAGCTTTGCAGTTCACATGGATTTTGAAAATTTGTTATGTCCATTTTCCTCTTTTGTCAGGCCAAACAGTAAATATTTATGGTTCCATGGGGTCCTTCTATTAACAGTGTGTGGTTCCTTCCTGTGCAAACTGCATTATTCAGTACACTCTATGATCTCGTTATTCCTGGCTCTGGTAAGCTGTTAGTTGGGCTACTTATCCATGCCCTGTGCAGGGAGGGAGAAAGGATGGGGAAAAATTCAACTATGTGAAGCCAGAGAAGGAGAAGGATCAATAAAGTCTGGGGATAGAAAAACCCCCGGCCCAGCCGATGGATAGACGTAGTTAATGGTTCCTTGACCTGAACAAGTAATGTCACCTGAGGCCCCAGGCAAGGTGAGCGCTCTCATTATTTGCTCGAGAGCATACTGGGTATTTCTTTTAGCACATGCATGAATGACATTTGGCACTTATATGTTCAACATCTCCCATGCTAAATTCTATTACCTTGAATTTTTAATTTGAGGTATAATTACCGTATAACATTATATTATTTTCAGGTATGCAACATTACTTGACATTTATATACATTATGAAATGATAAGTAACTCTAGTTAATATCCATCACCACATAGTTATAGTCCTTTTATTCTTGTGACCATTATCTTAGTTCTTATCATCCCGGTGCCTAGGACATAGTATATGTTCAATAAACACTTGCCAAATGAATGAACGTGAAAGAAAGTCTATTAATGCAAATAACATTTCTTTTACAGTTACTGTGGCTAGCTGTTTTTATACATGATTTTTATTTAATCCTCAACAACTTTATGAAGTGTCGTTCCTGTATTGGAGAAAAGCTAAAGTACAAAGAGGTTTACCCACTACAGCTCTTACAGCTAGTAAGCTGGTATTTAAAGTCACATCTCTGACTCTAAATCCCGTCCCATCTCTGCCATACCATATTGTTGTTCCTAAGATTCAGTCAGTTTATTTCAGTACATGAATATTTAGTGTGTTTTCGTAGGACGCAACATTTTGACAAGGGTTTGGTGTGTGACATCTCAGTTGAAAATTGTGAAATTAACTTTATATACTCTCTGATTTAACAGAAGCTATAAGATGTATAAAGAACAAAAGTTGAGCCCTGGCTGGTTTGGCTCAGCGGTTAGAGCGTCGGTCTGCGGTCCAGAGAGACCCAGGTTCGGTTCCCACTAAGGACACGTAGGTTGCAGTTTGTCCCCGGCCCTGGTTGGGTCGTGCAGGTGGCAACCACTCGATGTGTCCCCTTCACGTCGATGTTTCTCTCTCTCTCTCTCCCTCCCACTCTATCTGAACAAAAAAATGGAAAAAAATGTCCTCGGGTGAGGATAAAAAAAAAAAAGAACAAAAATTGAAACCAAAAATATTTTGGTATTTGAGAATATCCTTGACACTAATTATCTAGTAAGAGAAACAGACAAGCACGTAGAGTGCAGTGCTACATCATAAGCAGACTAGGTTTAATGACATTGGGAGGAAGTGTAGATTTTTGCTAGTATATTGCTATGGAGCCTGAACAACTTCCCCATGGGCATCCCCTGAACAGCACTGCTGGGTCCCTTGTGCACATAAACCCTGTGTCCACACCAGGAGTCCACTCTGCAGCCACAGGTAAGGCAACCATGTCAGGTTCAGAGACCAGTGGAGCCAGAAATTGGGAATCAGGCCTCTGTGAGCAGCAGGCAAGTGAAAGAGCAACCTCAGGGATTGGTCAGAGCACAGACAGGCTGAGCATGTGGATGTGCTGGTGAGTGAGTGAGCGCCAGGTGTGCAAATGGCTGTGCGAGCTGGTGTGGGTTTATGTAGGGGGGACCTCTCCATTGCTGTGTAGGAAATCAGCCAGGAAGTCTAGAAGGAACACAGGTCTCTAGTATGAGTGATATCCCATTACATGTGGTATAGCACACATACTAAATGCGCAGAGGTGGTGGCCCTGACTCCAAATTCAGTGACCTCTTTTCTAGTCCTCAACCATGTACAAAATGATCATGCCTCAGGGCCTTTGCACTTGCTTTACTTCTTCCTGGAATGCTCTTTCCATAGGAGGCTTGCTCACTCTTTTTCTTCATGTCTCTGCTCCTTTGTCACTTATTTGAAAGGGCTTCCCAACCACCAGTATAAAGCAGCAGACCCTGACCCCTCTCCATCCTCCTCCTTGCCCAGCTTTGTTTTACTCCATAGTCCGTGACACTACCTGACATTTCTTTTTTAACTCTCTCCTTCTGTATGATTCATTAGGACAGAGACCTTATTTTGTCCACTGAAGTTTTGTGCCTGTCCAGCACATAGTAGGTGCTCAACAATTATTTCTTGAATGAATGAGTAAATAAATTTTATCCCTTGTATCTCTGGTACCTGACATGTAATGGGCAGCCCAATTATACATATATAATATGTGACATGTATTATTATTGAATAAAGTGGTGCCATTTTGACCTGTTTCTCTTTGTTAGAATAGTAGAATCTTACAAAGGTTATCTATCTATTATAGCATCCTACCCCGGGTGGTACTCTCTCCCTCTCCCATATGCCTGACTCCCAGACTTTATTTGAACACTGAAGGGCAGCCCACTAATTCACAAGGTGGTCCATTGTTGCATTACACCAAGATCGTCAGTCCCCAGAACTTCATGGGACGCACTGGAACCTGATCCACGGAATGCCCGCCCTCTCAGTGCAGGAAGCCTGCACGTCTCACACAAAGCCCAGCACGTGAGGCCTTTCTCAGTCCGTCCTCTGCTTAGGAGTCACCCGCATCCTCTGCCATCCCTGCTTCCTGTCCCAGGGCCTGGCCACCAAGAACCTCTTCCCTTGCTGTGACCAAGGGCGCTCGCTGCCATGCCTGCCTTTGCACTTGCCCCTCCTCCCCACCCCCTCTTCCCACACTGTCAGCGCCCAGATCTAAACTGCCATTGCTGGCGCTGCCGGGAACATGAAGGGTTCTTTTCTCTCATGTTCTCTTTTTCGGAACGCACCTGAAATTCTGCTCCAGCCTCCTTGTAGCACATTTCATCTCAAGCAGTTGTGCATGCCTCTTCTCCAGCCCCTCTCCAGCACTGGGAGATGTGGCAGTGTTTTCCTCATCCTCACGTGGTGCCTAAGAGTAACAGGAAGACTTATTGATTCCATTCGTGTGTCTCTCGTGCTAGAGGCCTCTCGTCCCTTCTTCAGACCTTCAAAGGAACCTTGTCAGGTTGGCATGACTGCCATTTTGTATATAGATCAAGAAGTGGGGGCTCAGAGAGGTGAAATGTTCCAGTCAGGGCACCCAGCTAGTGAATGTCAGTCACTCTGCAAGCCCAAGTCTGCCTGTGAGCAAAATCCACGTCTATCCCAGACGGCTGCACACCAGTGGCGGATGTTTCTCGTGAAGGAAATGCCGGACTTGTAACACAGAAGCATGTTTTCCATATTCTTACCTTTTTATGACTCTAAGTGTAACAAGTGTTATAAATCTTAATTAGAAAATGTTTATTTGCTGTATGCAGATTCTAACACACACACACACACACAATATTGGTGACAGATTGACCCTGTAACTTTTAAAAAGCCGAACACCAGATTTGGTCTCTCAGCCCTGGTTCACTTAGGATTCAGCTCAAGAAACAAATAATTCTTGTAGTATGAATGCATAATCTGCCCCACCCCCACCTCCCACTAGGCAAACAGCATTTTAAGTGTCTTAAAGTCCCAAGTTTACTTGGCATTTGTATCTGACTTTGGTAGCTCATCATAAACCAATTAGTAAGTTTTCATTTTATCCCAAATGTGAAGAAAATGCCAGTCCTTGTGCATCATTTCATGGAATTGTAATAGTAAAAGCCCTGTCTATTCCCCTGGTGATATTAAAGTGGGTTGAATAGCTATTAAAAGTAGCTGGAAATCTTAGTAGTGCTTTATTTTAAGCATAAGAACATTTCTCATTATGGAATCACTTATGACTTCCAGATGTTTCTGTCTTTTTCATTTAATAATGGTATATTTGCTCAAATGAATTTCCAGTTAGTCTCAAAGAAAATCTTTGGTACAGGTAAGTGCTACTTGAGATATGTATTTGAGTAAACATTTTTGTTTATCATTTTATGGAAAGGGAGAGTGACAGTGTTTGGATTTACAAGATATCAAAAGATCAAGGTGTAAAAGACTTAATTTCAGTGCAATTTAAAATTACCTAGCTAAAATAACAGCCTTTGGGGGAGGGTTTCCCCCTCCCCCAGACATCCTAGCCTGGTGCAGTTGCCGCCAGTAAGCAAAGCCAAGTGTAGTTGAGTACTTAATAGATGTAATCTATTAAATCAGTAGATGAATAGTAGGAAAACAAGTGACAGTTGCATATTTGTTAAATATAAATTATGCATCACTGACTTGCCAGCTCTTGGCTCTTTATTTTTTTTAAAAAAAATGTGCTCCCTGTGTAATTCTGGCTCACTTCCAGAGTCCGTATTCCTTACTGCTAGCTGAGATAAGATGCCAAGCCTCTGTGCTGTTTGAATTTGCGCAACAATTCTTTAATACCCAGAGTTCCTCCATAAATAGTCTGTTCTCCCCACACTCGGGGAGAAAACAACCACAGGAAACCTGGGAATGCGCAGCTAGCTCCACTCAATTGATCTAAGCCTGCAGGACCAGCAGGAGAGCTCGCGTGTCCACAGCCTCTGCTCCTGGCCTTTCAGGACTGTTTACCCAAGGGGCAAAGAAGTCTGTGTGCAGAAGATACCATGTCGCTTCTCCAGCCTTCGCAGCAGCAGTAGCGGTGGTGGTTGTTTACAGTCTGGAGAGCCATACTCCTTTAAGGAAACACAAACTCCTCTCCCTGGTGTCTGGCCCCAATCAGTAATCATCAAGACTGTCAGCTGCCTGCAGTTGTCAGGAGGAGTGGCCCTTGGAAATGATCTTATCTCTCTCACAGAAGAAAAGTTAAAGGAGTGCAGATGGACAGTCGCTTTGTGCACGCAAGTGGCCAGCTAGTATCCAGAGGGCATCAGGCTATGATTTTGATTTCTGTGCTGGGTGCATCAGCAGCTGTGGCTGGGGAGGTTTCATCTGGACGGAGTGAAATTGCTGCAGACATTTTTGGGTTTTGGTGAGCAGTAGGGATTTGGGGACATTGTGCTGTTATTGCAGAGCCCCACGATGAAGATCCAGGAGCACCCCACCATCCCTGACACCAAACTGCAGAGGACTCCCGATGTCGATGCCCAGCAGGAGAGCTTCGCCTCAGACGTGCCCCAGCTGGACCTGACCGCATTGTGTGATGAGAAGAGCTGGGCAGGTAGGGTCGGCTGACGCTCGGATGATTTAATAAAGGGGAAGCAAATGTAAATTAGCGTAGATGAGAGGCACGTATGGGTGACAGTGACAATTACGCATGCAGAAGTAACTGCGTTTCTAAATGACTGAAAATCCTTCCCCTGGCATACGAACGTGTCATGGTAAGTGCTGCCAAGAGTAATTGCAGTCTGAGGAAAAAAATGTGCTTGCCCTTTATCACAGTGTCACCTTGCAGTTCTTTTTTTTTTTCTTTTTCACTCAGCAAGAGTGCTGCTGCGTGGGTGCATTCTCCCTCTCGTAGTACCAAGCAGAGCCCTAAGGAGCCCATATGCATTTAGGGTTTCATCTCAGCACAACCCGTCGTCCCCCCGAACTGCATGCCAGTCATCAATGCCCTTTCTTAAATCTCCTTCCCATTTTTCAGGGCTATTTTGGTTTGCTTTGTTTCTATGTTCGTTATTGTGGACAGACTTTTAAAAATCCAGGCTAGCAAACCTAAGGGATTTTCTCATTAAAGAAACACTGAATACATGTGCTGCTTATTGAATGCCTGCAACACAGTGTTTCAGACTGGGTTTTCTAGAGGTTGTTTGGTGAGAAGGTTAGAAATGAACTCCTAAGGAAGAAGAGGGTATCCTCGTGTTGTCAGAGCCATATTTCAGGAAGGATACTGCAACAGTTTCATCAAGCTGCTCTTTCACTATCCATGTGTTTGTATCCAAACACCTACCAGTGTGTGTCCAGAATAGATGCCCATCTGCCCTGAGGCAGCACGTGTTGGAGGCTGCAGAGAGGGAGAAGCCCTGCTCCTTAGGTCAGAGCAGCACCTTAGCCGGACTTAGCAGAGAAGCACAGCTAGGAGAGAGCAGTCTTCAGAAGTGCCTGGGTTCCTTGTTTTCTCCTCCGCCCTTCCTTTTTTTTTTAACCAAAAAGTACTCATTATGGTAATGATCTTAGATGAGGGGCCAAAAGGTGATCTGAAAAGACCACAAGGTGAAAAATAGCAGTTCCATTATGCTCCTGGCGCCCAGGGCTTAGTGAAGCGGAAACTTTTTTATTCTAGTTTTCCCTCTTCGCCATCTAAGAAACACGTTTTAGTTCTTTTCGTGTATTTAGGCAGTGGGGCTGAGATTTCGCCAGATCTTCCCAGCTCATGATACATTCGCTGGGGTGAGGGCGCGGGGTGGAGGAATTTTGTTTTGTTTTTAATTTAAGTAATATGTTCCTGGTAGTGTTTCATTGTTGTTCTTTTGTTTTGTATGTTTGAAACAATCCGGTATGTTTTCAATTCATACATAATAAACACCACTCCCCCCACCCCAAAATAGTACCATATTAGCCACTGTTGCCCAAATAAAAGATAAAAGCAGTAGTCAAAACAAATGCTATATTTGGGTTTCAGTGATAGGGTCTAAATAAAGCTCTAAATAAAAACTAGGATTTTTGGTCAGAATTCGAATTAGTCACATTATCTTGATGATTTATTCAGTAAAGAGGCAGGTAGAATCTTCCTCTTCCTCCTACAATGGACTGTTTGATTATTTTTCTCTTGGTTAATCATAAATTCATCATCTCTTCCAACACAGTTTACGAGGCAAATAAAAAGCTGAAAGTGTTCTCCAGAGTGGTTGAAAGTTCATTTACAGTTTCCTTAAAACTATTTCATTACTTAATGTTAAGATCTTTCTTCCAGATAAATAATAGTAACATGAAGGCACCAACATTTTATGTTGCACTGGGAAACTAGATAGAATAAAGAAAAAGCTTACTGGGGAAACCTGTATTTTTTATTAGGCTTGGGAATGTAAATTGTGTTATCTATGTAATTTATGAAATGGTATGCTTTAACTTTTAATCAATCGCTGCATTTGTCATTGAACTTGCATATCTTAAAAATCTACATAGATTCATTTCAAGGCCATTTTGAGCATTTGGTTACTGCTTTCAGTGGCCATTTTTTATCGTATATTTATTTTAAATTCCAAGTTACATTATAGCAGTAACATAGCTATAAGGATAGTCAAAATAAAGGAATTTTTCTGTAAAGTGTAGTTAAGAAGAGAGCAGTAGGTCCAATCACTAAAATATCATCTTTCTTATAGTTTCAGTAAGAGACAAACAAAATGGGGACTTTCTCGTAAGGAATACACTTTGCACTAATTTAAACCATGAATGTGAAATCAATGCAACAAAGTGTGTAAGTGGAAGTGATAGCTGCTACCAAAACCATATGAGCCAATATCCATCCTGAAGTCTCCAGCAACAGTCTCCAAGCCGCCCTCGGAGTGAACCCCTCTTTTTGGTTTGCTTGTTTGTTTCCTGTCCCCACACCACAACTCATACCCTCTCTTTCATGTATAATTGTAGACTATCAGGGGAGACAGTACTTAATGAGCAGCCCGCTCCCACTTGTACTAGCCTTTGCAGCGTAGGCTCCCATGTGGAAATGATGGTCACTGGTTTCTGGGACATACTGTATCAGGAAAACGAAAAGCAAAAGGAAACTAATAAAGAGATTCCATAGGCTACATAAAGTGGAACCCTCTCAAGTAGAATCAAAGTCTAATCATGCTTGTTGGGAGATAAATAATACATGCTTTATCTGCCCCACTCCCCGTACATAGCTGTGTATTAGGGCACATTATTTGATCTACCCACATATCATTGTCACTATTATTATGTCCACTCTCGTAAATTAAATAAATGCACAGATCAAATATACTATTCCTTTTTATTTAAAGCCCATTAAAGTTGCATAATTAGAATGTTCCTACTCAGCCGATTCATGTGGATTTGGGGCAGTCCATTTGTGGAAGCACTGATATTTAAACTCTCAGCTACTCTATTAGATTTGTCCTGGCGAAATTAATTTTAAAAGAAGAGTTTTAAAGGGCATAAAATGCTTCATATGTCTTCCTCATCATTACTGCTTATTGAAAATAACTTTGGAAAGAAAAGTATCTAAAAGAATGATAGAAAAGAAGCAGGGGATCTTGAAGATCTTCCAGTTGAACCTTCCCATTATACAGATGAGAAAGTTGAGACCAGAAGAGGCAAAGTGATGATTCAGGATGACGAAGTCCCCTGACTTCCACCTGGATACCTCTTTCTAAGTAATATATCCTGGCAGGCAGTGAACTATAAAGGTTAAGAGCCAGGCCCATCCTGGGTTCAAATCCCAGCTCCACTACTTAACCAGCGTTGTTAGTAAACATGTCTCAGTTGTGGCCTCAACTTCCCCATCTTTAAATAGTTATAACAGTGAGTAACAATAAATAAGAGATAGAGTAGCATCTACTAAGTTAGTTTGTTGCCAGGGTTAAATGAGCTAATATATGCAAAGTGTGATCACATCGAAAGCGCTATGTGAATATTAGTTGATGTTATTACTGCCTTTCATAAATGTTTCCAAGTGTAGTTTCAGGAAAAACAACTAAGTTGGGCCTGTTTGAAACCAGATCCCATTTCTACATAATGACCATGGATGGCTCTGAACACAGAGGAGGAGGCTGTCATTACTAGGTCCCCCACAGACTTACTGAGGACTAGGCATGTCACACCAACCTCTATTTCTCCTTCCTACTCTCTCTCTTTCTGTGTGTGTGTGTCTCTCTAGGACCTTTCACCGGGACTTGTGGTAGCCTTGTCTGAGGTATGGGAGGGACAGACGACAGGTAGATTAGAGAGTTAGTAACTGGTGAAGCAACTCTGCTTCAACGTGCAGATGGATGGATCAAAGTCAGGAAGTCCTCAGCCCTATTTCAGTTCCCACATTTATTAATGATTTAAATGAAGTTATTGCAGGCCTGCTTATTAAACTGGCAAATGGGGCAGTGCAGATATATGAAATTGAAGGATTAAATTTGGATTGATAAAAGTAGACAACTATGGTCCCTTCTAACTCTGATAGTTTGTAAGACTATTTGAACAATTTAATAGGACTGCCAATGTTCTAAGATTAAATTTGGAAACACCAAGGAAAATTTTATAAAAGAATTCCCCTAGTAAGGTCCTGCCCACCGGGGCTGCCCACTGTCTGGCTGGCATGTGCAGTACCTTCCAGCGCTTCAGAGCCGGTATGATGACCCCACACCAAGTAGTGATGACTCTAAATAGCATAGAATCAGAAATTAGATGTGGAAAACTTCAGCTCCTTAATTCTGTGCAGATTTCTTGGAAATAAATCATCTCAGTAGCCAATTTTCTTTAGTATCGTAAATGGATCCAGCCAGCTGCACAGAGAAGCTATGTCCCAGTGACCGCATGAGCATTAGCCAGAGCTCTGTTCCCTCTTTCTGCAGTGAATTTCCTTTCTTTCCATGTGTGCTGTAGTGTCTCAATTGAAACTCCCCCAGGAGCTACTTTTTTTTATTACTTAGGTAGGAAGCATACAGCTTTTGCTTCTGTTATCTCTGGTCTGCCGTGACATCAGCTGACCTGGGTGGATTAATTTTTAATAGAGAGACATGCCTTACTTATGTCCAGAGTTCTTTGTGACAAGACACATGGCGAAAATCAAAATCACTGCACCCAGGGAATTCTGGTCGAGAAACGGAAACACATTCATGGTATGTGATCCTTTAAGTGGAGAATCCAATTTGAAGCCACAAATCTTTTCTGTTTTCTCTTTGAACAATTTTCTTACAGTGGTTATTACAATATTGTTGTCTGTCTTATTGCTCTAGAATTACTGGTTAAAATGTAAATTATTTCCCAAACCAGCAACTGGGAACTGTCAGTGAATATATCCTCAAAGCTGACTCTCTCTGCAGGTAATGCAGCTGGACACATTGTCGTGACCACACTGTTCTTTTTGCTTCTTTCTCATTTTTATATTTGAGTGGCAACTATCAAAAGATGAGATAGCCTTGTATTTTTAGATCATTTCAAATTAAAACAGGACCAGCTGGTTTTATTGATTCTTCAGTTATACTGAGCTATGCATTGCATGTAATTGTAAACCCTTTTGAATAGGAGCTTTAAATTATAAGAGTGTATAGAATAAAAATGAAGAGAGGAAAAGGAGAAATCATATAAGCATTTTGTGTTGCATAGGTGAGAAACTTTACCTCTGTTTTACATGCACACTAATGATAAAACATACCTTTTTATTTTGTTAAGGTTGAAATTAAGAATGGTTTTCCATTTCTCGTTTTTAAATAAGTGAATTCCTCCACCCTAACTGTATGCTTTCAGAGAATCTAGAATTGCTTCCACTGTGTGTCTCATACATACCACTGGCAACACTAGGAAAACGAGACATTTGGTGTTCTGGTCAGGGAGGTGGTGGGTCAGGAATGGAGCCACAAACACAGCCAGCTAACCAAAGGGAAGGAAGGTGTGTGCCCTGGGTGAGCTGCAGAGCAGCCAACAGCGTAACCACATTCCGTGATTAGTATTTTATAGTTAATTTGGGATCGCAATGTATCTTTTCCTGGAGACATGATTAGTTAATGGTCACACACACTCATTTTGCAGAGACTACATAGTTGAAAACTTAAAGATTAGTTGTAACGTTTTCTAAGAGATACTCTGCTAGATTCTAAAGGGCTTCAAGATCTTAGCCTTTTCAAGCTAAGTTTTGCTGAGTAGAAATGTCAAATGAGCCAGCACACCCTTGTGCCAATATCAACATCAGGCTTTGTCACCACCCTCTGTGCCCATAAACCACCTTGCCCTTCCCCCTGGTTGTTTTGCTCCTTTACCTCTCTGAAGTGAGATTGTTGCTGCTGTGTTCCTGTTCAAACCATGTTAACCCTTTCTCTGTCCTGGCTCCATTGATTTTAGTCCTTGCAGAAAATTACTGCTGGTTTATGACGTGTCATGAAATAAAAGGTGCAACCTGGTCAGCTTAATAGTTCCATTTTCCACAACGTAACACTACATTTTTGTTATTTTTTAGGGTTTACGTTCCACTTTCCCTCTTCTCCCCTCACCTCTCAATCTGTTTTTTACCTTTATGTTGGCAGTTCCGAGCTGCTCATATCTGAGCCCTGCCTCTGAGGAAGAGCCAGCTGGTGGCTTTAGCACAAATGATGAAACCACTCCTGTGTGTCTCCAGCTTCTGCCAACTAACTAAATGTACCCACATTCTGCCACTGTTTGAGACTCTGTAGGCAAGAGTCTGTCTTCAACACTGCTTTCACTTTTACCAAATATTTATATTGTCATTTGTGTCCCCAGATAAGTCGGGTCCCTTTAAATCTTGAGAACCTATGGGCCTCATTCCACATGAGGTTAATTTTTTTTTTTTAAATTAATGTTCTTATCACTCCTGCTACACGGTGGGGTCTTCAAAAGTTTCAGACAGTCATCCTTGTTATTGGAGCACCTGGCATGTTCTCAATTAAAGCACTGTCCCAGAGTCAGGAGGTTTTGTTTCTAGTCCCAACTGTTGTCATTGATCAGGTATTTGCTCTTCATTTCTTTGGTTTCAGTTTCCTTATCTGTAATCTGTTGGGCTGAATCAATGGTTCTCAAAACTGACTGCATTTGGTATCACTTGTGCAGCTTTTTAAGTGTGTGTATGTGTGTGGTGTGAGGACCTGCACTTTAAGAGTTATTTCTGTCTCCCTGTGTGACCCTAGTGTGCAGCCAGGTTGATCACTAGATTAGATATGTATGAAGTTTCAACTAGCCCTAATGTTCTATGATTTTATGATCTTGTTAAATAACATACTGAGTAATCACTTGTGTAAGATAATTTTGTAGGTTTTATAAATACTTTGATAGCTAAAGGAGCAATTGTTCCATGATTCATACTGTGGGAATCCCAGAATTTAAAATCATGGCCAAATCCTAGCCTTGTATAAATCACAGTGATCCACAAGTGTATCTAAAGCATACCTTTGTTTAATGTATAGAGTATTAGAAATGAAATATCCTACACCATCTGAGATCTATCTTAAAAATTTGTTAGATAAGACTTTTTACTAATAAAAGAAATATATTCAGGTGGGTGTTAAAGTGAGAAAAAATAAATATCATAATCATAAATCAGGATTTTGTGCTGAGCATGTTGTTGTTTTTTTCTTAAAGATTATCTAAGATAATTTGTACAGATGTATCCTTTGTAAAACGTTCTTCTTTTCTCTCTCTTTTTTGTTTGGCTAATTTATATATGCATCTTACTTTAACTGTGGTCTTGTGTGGCTTCTAGAGTTTTGACTGCAAAGCATGCATCTTGAACGTGCTAATCCCACCCACTAAGCAGAGGAGAACAGCTGACCAAACCTGAGGGAAGGCACACACTCCTGAATTCATGGGCCCGCGCACCATTAATGCGATACTTTAGCTGGCGAGCTGTGATGCTAAGTCTCTCCCTCCCTGACACATTGTTTCCTTTCCATGATATCCTCATGTGGAGAGTCCTTGACAATGACCTGTAGGGGGCAGTAAGGGGCAGGCACTCTTGGCAGACCTTCTTCAGGGCAGCCCTAGCACATACTCTTTGAAAGCAAGCAAGCAAGGGCGGAGATGGAAGTCTGTCAGATAATTTGGTGATTCTGGCCAGGGCATAGTGTCCCTAGTTGGAACTTTAAATCTAAAATGAGAAACCATTCTGTGCCTCCTAATGCTTTCAGAAAACTTGGCGAACAGTTATGCTTTAAAGAACAATTTTGACCTTGTACCCTCATTCGTCCCCAGAACCCAGGCCCACCTTGTCCTCATGGCAGCAGGAGAACATGGACTCTGACGATGCGCGCCTGTCCCCGCAGGCCGGGCGCCTCATTCGCCAGCTTCTGGACGAGGACAGCGACCCCATGCTGTCCCCTCGGTTCTACGCTTATGGGCAGAGCAGGCAATACCTGGATGACACAGAAGTGCCTCCTTCTCCCCCAAATTCTCATTCTTTCATGAGGTATGTTTTTGTTTTTGTTTTTTATTGGTCAGCAAATGTATCATCATTAGAATAGTCATGCCTGATGGCCAGTAATTTTTCTTAATTAAGTTGTTAAGTCATGGAAGGAACACAGCCTCCCTTCCTGGGACATAGGCACCATTGTAGCTTTTTCAGTTTAATGTGGCCCAAGTGCAACATCACGTACTGGATTTCCATCCGCACCTCCGTTCCAAAGCGCTCTCAGCTTTGACTTCGAGGTCCGCAGCGGACAGGTCATTCCTAACTTGGCTAATTAGAAATGGGAGCCGGAAGAGATTAGGTCCATTTAATAGGAGGCATAGATAGAGCTCAAAGTCACAAAACAAATTAGTAGGCACCTTTGTTATTCGAGAGCGGGGAGATGGTTTGCACCCGCCCCCCAGGCCGCCTCCTCACCCCCCAGCTCTTCCCAGCATGCAGTGACTCGCTGCTTGGGAAGTGACTCCAGGGTGCCCCCCACAGGCAGCGCAGCTCCTCGCTGGGGTCCTACGATGACGAGCATGAGGACCTGACACCTGCCCAGCTCACGCGAAGGATTCAGAGCCTTAAAAAGAAGATCCGAAAGTTTGAGGACAGATTTGAAGAAGAGAGGAAGTACAGAGTAAGTGCCTCCTCGCGGGCCCTCTCGTCCCCTCCTCTCCCTGCCGCACCAACACTTCAGCAACTCAGAAGTGGTGAAGGCTCAGGACCACGTCTAGGGAGTCTCAAAGCAAAAAGACAGTAAAACCTAGGTAGTGAATGCTAACAAACCTCAGACTTTATGTATCAGCATTTTTCTTGAACACGGTATTTTTACAAATAAACTGAACGCTTTAGTCCACGACTTGTAAACTCACCAGTGAGCCGGCATGGGAAAAATCATTAGATGAAGTCTTTCACTTGACTACAACTTATTTCAAGATTATTTCCTAAAATTTTGTTAGTTCTGACCTTATTCTGTTCTCAGATTTATCCTTAGCATTTCCCACAAGAATGGCAAAAAGGCGTTTTTCAAGGTGGTTGCAGTATAAAATATTGTATACCCCTCTGCTTTCTATTCTGTTAGCCTGACAAGTTGAACCCTATAAATAATGGAAACAGGGCCATCCATGGACCTCATACAAGTCCATGACCATAAGAATTCAGCATTTTGCCTCTGAGGAATCCTTTAAAAGCATCAAAAATAACCAGAAGTAAAGAAGGATAATGGGATTAAACTTGTGAGGTTTGCCTTGATTGGTCATGGTTAATTTCTTATTCCAATGGGATTCAACGTTTCCTTCCTGCTTAAAACAAACTCATCATCAAACACTTCTTTCTCCTGCCCCAATTCCAAGACATTCGCCTTAGTTTTCCTTTTCTCAGCCCTCCCACAGCGACAAAGCAGCCAATCCAGAGGTTCTGAAGTGGACAAACGAGCTGGCCAAATTCCGGAAACAACTGAAGGGTAGGTGAAGCTCCAGACCCGTGGCGTGGTTTCTACAAAACAAGCGTGTGCGGAGCCTGCTCTCCCTCATGCCGAGCGCCACTGCTAACGCTCCAGAAAAGACCAGTCCCTGGAAGCTGCTTCCTGGCGCTCTCGGAACCCAGGGGCCACCTCTCCGTGTCTTCCCCTGGGCTCAGACACAGGACCACCCGGGTTAGCTAAAATGCAAATTTCATAGCATTTCTTCATTTCCCTACATTGCCAATATGAGGATGATGGTTTCAATTTAATGCTCACTAAGTACCTGTTTAATCCAAGGCTTTATTTGCGGGGTATTAGAAGACATGCACACACGCACGCAGAAATGAATATGAAAAGGATTTGGTCTCTGTCCCTAAAAGAGCTTGCTGTTTTTTAGGAGATAGACATATAAACAACTAAATACAATATAAAATAAAAATAATTCTAAAATAAGGTTTAAGTCATACAGAAAAAGTTGGCCAGCAGTTGGGCACTAGATCGGTAAATACCTTTAAACACTAAGGGAAACGTATAGAAAGACACCTGCCACATCCAGAGGGCAGCGAACAGGTTGGTGGCTAAAGTGTGGGTGTTAAATAAAGTAGCTAGCACTGTCTCAGGAACGAGGATTCGGGAGACTGTCCAGATACTCCAAGGAGACATTGTCACTTTCTCAGGTTTTATATAATAACCCAGGGATTTCAACTGTTATAATTAGATATTTTTGGGGGGGTGGGCGGGGAGGAACAGGCCTAAGTAACTATTAACATCACAGAAGAACAATTTGGGTTCTGCAGAGGTCAATTCTCATATTTCTCCATCCCCAAATCTTTTCAACTAGAGTCCAAACTAAAGATATCTGAAGAGGACCTCACCCCCCGGCTGCGGCAGCGAAGCAACACCCTCCCTAGGAGTTTCGGTTCCCAACTGGAAAGAGAAGATGAGAAGAAGCAGGAGGTGGTAGATAAAGAAATGAAGCCCAGCATTGAAGCCACGCTGGAGTCTATCCAGCGGAAGCTCCAGGAGAAGCGGGCAGAAACCAGTCGCCCCGAGGACATTAAGGTGTGCTGGCCTGTGAAGGCCCCGGGCTAACTGCTGACCCTAAACCATGACCGTCGACATGGTAGGAGCGTAGGTCATGCCACATGCGTGCACATGGGAAGAGAGATGGAGTGACGTCTTTTAAAACCTCCCACCCCCTCACCTTCCCCCCTTAGATGTCTAGAGAAGCCGATGAAACAGCTTCAGAGTGCTGTAACTGTAGCTGCTTTGGTTTTTCACTTCAAAGTAAAAGCAGAAAACTATTGTACAGATCGCAGAATGAACTTGTTTAGGTTCACACAGTCTGGTGAATCTCTGAGGTAGAAGAATTATTAGGAGCATTTGAGGCAGTTTGTCACTCAGCAAACCTCCAGAACTGTGTGACCTATAACTGTGCTCGTTGCTCGGGCTGTACGTTAAGTCTCATGTACCTCACAGCCTTGCTCTCACACACCTGCGCTGCTGCAAGGAAGCGGGTGATTCTGTATTTCTAGCAAGAGGTCAGGAATAGCTCCTTCCTAGGTGAGCTCTGGAGAGAGCTAGGAGGAGTTGTTTTGTAAGGATTCTCTTTAATCTTACTTTTTTTGTTGTTGAACTAAAAAAAAAAAAAAAACAGGAGGTTGGAATGTCCACAAATGCGTCCCCTTTTCATTTCTCTTTCCTTGTGTTTGTACAGGACATGACCAAAGACCAGATTGCTAATGAGAAGGTCGCTCTGCAGAAGGCTCTGTTGTATTATGAAGGCATCCATGGACGGCCGGTATGTGATGTGCTGACTTCTTCTCGTTGGGGTAGATCATCTGGCTTTCAAAATGGATCTCCTGTGTTCACTATTTTGCAAATAGGGTTCCCTGATGTTTAGCAGATGACTCTGTTTTCACTGGAACTAAGCTTTCTGAAGGCTAAACCCGCAATAAGAGTTTTACTACCTTGTAGGTGCTGGATTTAATGGAGTTCCAAAGAAAAATTCATTTGCAACTAAAATGTAGTCACTGGTGTCCTGCTTCAGTGGGGGGATGGTGGAGGGGGTGTGAACCGGGGCTCAGAGCCCTGGAGTGAGGAAACTGCCCTGTCCCTAGCAGCCTCCGTACACTGACACGCCCTGGGCATTCTTATCCATAACATAAATGTGCTAAACTGGAAAAATCTGCCTAAAATTCAATCTCTGCAGTGCATTGCCACCAGTGTGTGTCCATAGAGAAGTTCCAGCTGCCATCCAGAACCAAAAGTGTGAGGAATCCAAAGCATGACTTTGCCTTTTCATAACAAGGAATATCGAAGGCTGGCTGTTACTCAGCAAGCGTTTATTCAGTGTTTGTTGTCAGTCCGGGGGAACACAGAAGCATGCTAGGCTTCTCTCTTCCTTACGGAACTTATAATCAGATATCCATGTCAGTTACTCTTAGTAACCTGTTCAGAATGTTGTTGAGAACCCAATGAAACAAACTCTTAAAGGCAGACGTAAAGAAGCATGAAGTTTATGTTCACAGAAGGATCTTTATATAGCCGAAAAGCATGGATCTCCTTGCCAGGTTCAGCAGAGCCATATAATGGAGATAGTCTTCTCATCTAAAATAGACTCCTTTAAATAATGAAGCTTCCAGAATAATGCAGTAGACTCTAAGGCCTACAAGGGCAGGAATTCTGGGTTTTGTGAACCTAATCTTCAGCAAGTAGCACAAGACCTGCCACAGCACATGCCCAGTAAACTATCTGTAGAATGCATCTTCCATGGTATTTTGGTTCTGAATTTATCAGGTTTAAGTTTAAAAAGAAGCTGGGGCTGATGATGATTGATTTTGCTGGCCTGTCCCTGCCATGGAAAAATACTGGCGCTAAGGGATAATGGTCATGTTTCAAGCCAAATTTTTTTCAAGCCAAGTTTTGTTTTGGATTTTTCAAGGCATTGAACCAAATAGTAAATGCACTGGTGCTCGCATATATTGTGAAACGTTGTCCTTCTGTACTGAAGTGTTCAGAACTTGCGGTGTTCGAACTGAACTTCTCTAACGGTAGGCTCGGCCTGTAGGTGTCTCTTCGTGGCCGCCAGACAATCCCTATGAAGGAGGCAGGGCTCTGAGTTGGGCACAGATTAGTCAAGAGGCTTGGCAGACCTAGATTTAGAACCAAGCCCTGCTGAGACGAGATCTGTGACTTTGGGCTACTGAAGTAACTTCTCAGAGCCTCCGGGCTTTGTCTGTATAATAGATGTCTGTTATAGATTGTCTTGGAGACTAAATGACATTACAGACGCACATGTTTACCTGTAAGGTGTCTGGCGCTGAGGAAGTTGGGCATAGTGGCTTTGCTGGGGGCAGAGAGAACTGCCAAGTAAATGATAGTTTTCGCTTCTGTTACAATGACATGTTCTGCGCTCTGTGGCCTACTTCTTCAGTGATTGAATCAGGAGAAAGAATGCACCTTTTTAACACTCTTATAATTAGGAATATGAAATATTAGGTTTTGGCCCTGCCCTCTATTCCCCTTTCAACATTCTTTCCGAGGAAGGAAGAACGCCTTTTTGGGTCAGCTTTTAGCATCTCCTGGGGCAGGGTACAAATGCTCTGGGAAGTTTGTCATTTATTCCTGGTCCCAGGTCAGGCTCTCTGACCCTCTGGAACATGATGCTCCAACCTCAGGAAAAGCAGAGTCCATTTGATATCTGGCCAGTCTGAAAATCAGAGTGAACTTTTCATTCTCAGATCCATGGTGTTGCCATGGACCCTGGACTGTAAATAACATTTGGGCAACACTTTTCTTAAAAGAAAAATACATGTGCTTCCAGTGCTAACCTATCATTCCAAACCCCAGGTTTTTTTAGAAAAGCAGGCAAGTGCTCATAGTTCACAGGGTTTTGCTGAGTCTGCAGATTCTGATTTAAAAGGACACTAACTCCATGACTGTTTGCTTTCATGGGGCCCTCTACAGGCAGACTGACATGTATCAGAAACAAAAACACACTCATTTACACTGGCACATATTCCCTACTAATTATTATTAAAGTGTGTCCTTTTTATCATTTAAGGATCTCATGATAGATAATGTCACAGAGAGAGGCTCAGCAGATGGCTGCCGTTCCCAGTGCTGCCTTCTTTGTAGACCCTGCTTGAGGACAGGGGAGAGGGAAGAGAAAGGTTCCTTGCTCAGAGCTTCTGGGTTCTTGAGTCTCTTTTCCTCATCAGTATATTGTAATCTTATGTTTTAAAACCTTGGGAACAAATAGGACACTAAACATACCGTGTTCAAATTTAAATGCAAATTCTAACGCCATATATAAATACTCTCCTTTGGTTAACTGCTGTTAGGGATTACCTGGATTATCTGATCTTTGCACAATCAGCTTACCATCTTTACCTGATAATGAAGAAGAGAGAGTGGCTATTTTCCAATCCATGGGCCAAGAATGCAACAGCTGTAAGAATCCATCTTATGTGCCTTCTCCAGTTATCAGCTTTATAGCTCAGAGGTACCCATCCACTCATTCAAAGGCCTCTTCTTGGTTAGTAGGGAAATCCCTAGTGACTGAGGACTCAAGAATAAGAGTGTCAACCTCCAGACAGTTTTCCCATGGTCCACTTAACATTAGCCCACCCTTTTTTGACAGTTCAGCCAAGGCCCTGCTATGTTTATCTAAGTATCAGTCAGCTTTCGGCTCTGCTCACAAATCCAGCACTGGCAATTACGTGTGACGGGTGTAAACTAACTCTTAGTATGAACAACCCTTTGGCTTTGGATACTTATTCTGAAAATAATTCTGGTATAATTCAACTAGTAGTAATACTTTCCTCACCCCAGACTTAAAGATCTTTAATATTTTGGGTGGTTAGCTACATTTATCAAATGCCAGTGTTAACTTTGGTGGAGTCATGATGAGTCTCAACTTTCCATAGTCAAAAACTGAATTATATCAGGTCATTTACAGGTGATTAGTTCCTGGGGGTCATTAATTTAAAACGAGCAATTCATAGAAAATCTAAATGTCAGCATCATAAGCCAAAGAAGTAAGCCAGTGGTCCTCTTCATCTACTCCAATTAGAAAATTTGGGTTTTGAACAAAGAAGTAGAAAGGAAATTGGTTTCTGTCAAATGTGCTGTACCTGGCTGATTTCACCAGCTAAGTCTTCTATAAGCCAATGATGCTTCTGCCAGCAACTAGTGATAGGATGCTCGTCCACATGGCGAAAATGCTGGCTCCTTCTTTTTTTCACAGTCTGTCTTTTGGTCACTTAACCATCTATTATTTATCTTGCACATTCAGTTGTACCACATGCCTTGTGTTGACAGTTAAGATGTACCTTAACCTTATCTACAACACATTTAACAGATGCATCTTGTATTGAAAAAAACAATCCCAGGCGGTCCAGTCCTAAATTTCATCATCTTACACATGAAATTGTACTAATCACTGCATTTCTGTTCTTCACAGTTACTTGTGACTGTTGTTTAACTTTCTTTGAAGGATAACATAATACAGAAAAGATCAAGTATATGTCTTGATGAGTTTTCATGAAGTAAACAAATCCAGGTAACCAGCATCCAGATCAAGAAACAATGTTACCATTCCCTGGGGAAGCTCCCCCTCATGTCCCCTTCCCATCCATAGCATGACCTCCTGCCCCGCCAAGGAAAACCATTGTCTTGACTTCTAACACTGTAGATTGGATTTGCTTCTTTTTGAACTTCATATAAGTGGAATCTTATAATATGTCTTCTTTGGCGTCTAACTTTTTACTCGGCTTTATTTTTGAGATGAATCCAAGATGTTGCTTAGAACTGTGGCTCTTCAGATTGCTGTGTGGTATTCGATTTGGGGAACATACCTTATCCATTCTACTGTTGTTGGACGTATGGATGGTTTCCAGTTGGGGTTACAATAAATAGTGCTGCTGTGAACATTCTTATATATGTCTTTTGGTGAACCTATGGCCGTATCTGTTTGGTGTATACTTAGAATGGAATTGAGTTATATTGCAGCTTCAGTAGATAATGCCAACTGGTTTCCCAGAGTTCCACCCTTTCCAGTAGCGAAAGGGCTCCAGTTGTCCAGCATTCTCGCCGATGCTTGATGCTGTCTGTCTTTTCATTGTAGCCATTGTGGTAAGTGCATAGTAGTAAAACCTGTGGTTTGATCCTAGAGTTTTGTTGTATAAAATAATTTCCGAGTTCCCTTCTACTTTGGACAGTTTGTTGTTGTTGTTGTGTTTTGGGTTTTTATTTTTATTTTTTATTTTATGAAATAGCAGTTTTGAAACTCCTAGAAGGAGCAGGAAAATGCCATCATCCTCCACTTAATATTGTGGTAACAGGAAGAGATAGAAATAATTGATTGATAGTATTGCTGATGATAGAAAAGAAAACCATAAAATGTTAGTGCACACTGACAGCATCCTATCCTAGCTTGTGAAGTGTATCCAAAGTTTACTTACTGTCAATCACTTTCAGAAAAGCAAACAAGAAAGGCAGGAAAGGATAATTCATGTGCGCATAATCCAGAGTTGTCTTCCAAGCTGAAGGCCCAAAAGGCCCATAAAATAAATGGTCAACGCTAATACTATTTGCCCTTCCTTACCTCTGGAACGCTTGCCTTATTATGTGTGCAGTGGAAATAAAATGCAGAAGACAAACGGCAATCTTGAAACAAAGATATTTCATCTTGCCCTGGCCGGTTCGGCTCAGCAGTTAGAGCGTCAGCCCGCGGACCTGAGAGTCCCAGGTTTGGTTCCCACTAAGGGCACGTACCTCGGTTGCGGTTTGTCCCCGGCCCCAGTTGGGGTTGTGTGGGTGGCAACCAGATGATGTGTCTCTCTTACATCAATGTTTCTCTCTCTTCCTTCCTCTCTCCCTCCTGCTCCATTTGAAGATAAATGCAAAAAAAAAAAAAATGTCCTCGGGTGAGGATAGTAATAAAAGAAAACTACATGATAAGTATTATGCTAGAAATGCATGCTTTCTTCTTCCCTGGACTTGAAAATAGTATGTTGCCCAGGAACGCTCAGCCCTGAGGAGTTTTAAACAGGGAAGTAACAATGATCTCGGTTTTGATTTAGGAAGAGCAATACTGCTACTGGAGTCGTTTCCACAGTGATCTGCTGCTACAGTAGATATTTTAAACACCAACCGAATAATGTTACCAGTTAAATACATTTTGTGAGAATAGTGAGACTTCATTTGAATCATCTGTACTTTCTCTAGGCCCGGAACATGCTGGACAGCTGGTAGACTGACCACCAGGAACAGGCTTCTCAGCTCTCTCCTTCTTGCTTTTCAGGTAACGAAGAATGAACGTCAGGTTATGAAGCCACTGTATGACAGGTACCGGCTGGTCAAACAGATCCTGTCCCGAGTGAACACCATACCCATCATTGTGAGTTCGCCACCTCTCTGTTGTTGACTGCTGGTTGGATGGGCCCTGGCTATTAATAGGGCCCTGACTGCCTTCTCACGAAAGGACAAGCTGTAATAGCTGAACGTGCCATTGCTATCTATGGCCCATAAGCTGAGGAATGAAAATTTGTCAAAGACTTCTGAGACTACCTTTGTCAAAAAGTGAGCAAATCTGAAGCTGGTAGGGGTTTTGTTTTTTGTCTGTTTGCTTTTTGAGTCATGCTTTGGCCATACACATCCGCCTGACATGTGCTGGGCTGGCTCCCCCACCCTTTCCTCGGAGACAGCCCCGAGGGGACAGGCTGTGCTTTCTCTAGGCCTCTCCACGCCACCGCGTGCCTCTGGTCCCAAGGGCCCTCCGTGCATAGCCTTCTCTCCCCCTCCAAGAGGGGGTCACCCCTCGAGGTTCATATCCAGGGAGAAATCCACTAAGGACCTCGGAGAGCGGGCCTTCTCTTTCTGGAGGATGGAGAGAAGTGTGAGGTGCAAAGGCAGGAGGCTAACAATGGCGCAGGTGCTCTCCGAGGCCACCATCCCAGCACTTAGCCCCTCTTGGCCTCTGAGCTTTGATTGTCCAGACGAGGGAGCAGCAGCTTGCCCTCAGCTCTGGGAAGCCTTCCAGGACTGACCAGCCTGCTCCCACCCTGACCTCGGCCAGCTTTTCCACCTCCCACTAGGAGTGCCCTGTGAGTCCCTGGCCGCCTCCTGGGCGCTGGGCTGCCTCTGTCTCATCCTCAGGAACCCGCAGGCTCCCTCTGCTGGCTCTTGGGCTTCTCGGTAAGCAGCCAGCCTCACGTGTGTGGTTAAAATGCACATTCACCCTCGCCCTGCTCTTCTGGTCCTGCTCCCAATCTCCTTGTCACTTCTAGGCCTGAGCTGTGGTCTCCATATGTCCTGTCACAGTGTCCTTGTTCGTGTGAATGAGGGAGGGTCCAGAGACCTCAGGCAGCTGTCTTCGAAGGAAGCTGCTTTTCTAGACGTGTCCTGCAGAATAAATTAGTAACTAACCAATACAAGGATTAAATCTAAGGAATTGTCTCCGTTCTTCAGTTAGGAACCCTTAATGTCCCTAAATAGGGTGAGTGGAGACAACAGGGAAGTCAGAGAACCTTTGTGCCACTTGAGCTGAGTTCTCAGAGGTAAAGCTTATCCAGTTCGGGTGTTCTTGCCGTGGCGATGACCGGGGGAGAGGGGCAGGCAGGCGGTCCTCAGTCTCCTCTGCGTGTTTGTTACACACTGTGTGCTGTTCTTGCGCACGGGCGAGCTTCTTGGTTTGGGGTGGGGAGAAGGGAGCCCCTGAAGCGGAGAAGCAGCTTGAAGGGAACTTTGGTTTCTGCTGGTTTTCCTGGGAATTTGGTGGGGAGGGGTTGGAGTATATCATTCAAAGGCAGTGACAAATACTGGTGAGGAGGCAGAGCCGGTGGGGAAGGGGAAGGGGTTCACCATGTAACCTACTTGTCACGCCTGTCGCAGGGTTCCCCCTCCAGCAAGCGGAGAAGCCCTTTGCTGCAGCCAATTATCGAGGGTGAAACTGCTTCCTTCTTCAAGGAGATAAAGGTGAAGACCTCCGGCTGCTAACCTCTTGCTAAGTCTGCCTCAGTCCCTCCCTTTCTCCTGGGAATGAAGGGGTTGTGATGGGGCCCTTTAGTGATGCTTCTTGTAGCAGTCCTAAAAACGTGCACAGAACCAACTCCGAGCAACCCTTCTCTATTTATATCCTGTATTAGCTTATTTCCTGAGTTTCATTTCAAACCCCCACTTTTAATTGTTTTCAGGGATGATTCTTTTGTTTGTTTTGACTGTATTTTTGTGTTGCACCCCCCCCCCATTTGAAGAACAGTTTTTCTATATTTCAAAATTTTATTAAATTAGTTCATTGTGTAACTTTAAAAAAAAAAACTTACTAAGTTTATAGAAAAGCCAAAATTAGCAAAGGCAATGTGTATAGCACATAGTAAAAATTATCATTTTATAGACAAACATCAGAGTTGCCCTTGACAGATTCGGGTTTGGTGTCAGCCCCTCTTCCTTCCTCCTCCCTTCCCCCTGGCACATTCTGTCCTCACGACTAATTGTATAATCTCTTCCTGAGCAGCAAATGTAGCGCTGTGACCAGCAGCCACCAGAATATATGCTTGGATTTACTTCCCAAGTAATTATCGATTTTATACAAATAATCCTTGTTCTCCACGGCTGCTTTTGCTAGAATGGGTGGTACCATCTGTGCCCAGAGATCTGTGTGTGTCTGTAGGGACCTCACTGGCCTGGGCCAGGATCAACTTCTTTCGTGGTCTTGTTTCTAGACAACCGAGCAAACTGGACACCTTATACAGGTTTCTGGAGATAAAAGTCAACATCAATCTTTTCCTTTTTCTAAAAAAAAAATCACTGATTGTTAAAATTGGAAGGGGGAGTAAAACCTAAAGCAGAGGTGAGTTTTAAGAGTTTCACGTGTCCTGTTTCTGTGACAATTCCAAGCCTGGGGTGGTTATTTATATATTGTCGTTAGGAACAGTTATTTCAGAACATGGGGGCCTTGTTCCCACAAAGGGATGCCAATTGAAAACTGCTCAGTTTCTTGCCCACTTCTCATCATTCTCACCGAGGTAAGGCACCAGGAGGTGCACAGGCTTCTCTTTTGTTTACTCAGTTCATTTTCTTACCTCTTAAGGGTCTTAAGTACTTCATACACCTAATTTTAAGGTATTGGACAATGATTGTGCTCACTATTCATAGTATTTTAAATGGAATTTGTTTTTTGAAAATGCTCTAAATGTGAAATTTAGGTGACTATGCTGTATTGTATCTTAAAAATTAGAGGTATTTTCTTACAATAAGACTTGAAAGAAGACGTATTTTGTCTAGCTGGTAATTTCACACAAGAATTAAATCATCCTACTTGAAGAAATTTTGACAATTGTATGCATGAAAATTAACATATTTCTCTTAGAATCATATGATAGAACTGTTACTAGATAAAAATGTGTTCTTTAATACATCCAGAATATGACATGTAATAATTGTCTCATTAAACAAATGGAAGACATACTAATGACACTCTTTTAAAAAGAGGACATTCTCCTAAATCTTATCATTTTGCTTGGTTTATTTTTTTTCATAAGTATACTTTGGCCATGGCTCTTCTGCTAGTCCACATGGTGTTCAGAATTTCAGATAATTTTGCAATGATTGCATTGCTTTGGTAAATAGTGCTGTCTTGTAGTTCATTTTGTTCCAATTGGCCAGGCTTATTAGCATGTATTTGGATTGTACAAATTATTGGCAATTGTGATACAATTTAGAATTTGGTATGTGTGCAGATTAGAAGATTGTATCTAAGTGTTTTTATTGTTGTTGTTGTTGTTGACCATCCCTAGTCTTAAATGTTTCTGGGAGGAAAGCAGCTGTGTATGAGATAGAGCCAGCTCAACTTCTGAGGCTGTAAGTCTTCCAGCCCCAAATCCTCGAGGTCATCTAGTCAGTTCCCGATCCAACATAAAAATTTCCTCTCAAACTTCGCTGACAGAATAGAGACACTGTCCCTAAGAAGAGATCCCTTCTTCAAGTTTGACCACAGCAGGGAGAATAAGCTCTCTCATTACTGGGCTAAACATCCATACTAGCTAAAACTCACGTTGTTTTCTAATTATTTTTAAAATTATAAAATATAATTGTATATGTAATTTTAGAATGTGTAAGTTTAATAACTATGAAATATCAGTAATAATATAATTTTAAATTATAGTCACACTTATTATGTATTACTTTCTACTTAAGAGGCTGAACTTTGCCCTCTGGAATGACAGAATACGCACAGTGCTGCCTCCGCGAGAGCGCTGCGTGTATTCACGGTCCCCTGCCCTGCCCACGCCCCCCTCTGCGAAAGCTTTTCTCCTCGTTCTTCTTACTGTTTCTCATGTGATACAGATTCCAGACTGCCCAGCTCTGGTGGCTCTACTCTATGTAAGAATGCTCTGCATCCTTCTTAAAAACTGATACCCAGAGCTACCCACTATTCTGGACATGGTTTAACCAGCAAGGACCGAGGATGATTCCGGGACCTCGATCTGTATGACTAAGGCCCTTCAGCTCAACAATGACTGTCAGTGTTGTTGTGAGTTTATTTCAGTCTCTCTGTGGCAGGATGTCTCGACTTCAGCACTGTACACATTTGGGGCCAGATAACTCTTTGTTGTGGGGGGCTGGCCTCCACTCACTGCTGGGAGTGAACTGCAACCACCCCCTCCCCAGCTGTGACCGCCAGAAATGTCTCCAGACTTTTCCAAATGTCCACAAAGGGGCAAGATCACTGCCGTTGAGAAGCGCTGATGGTGGCCCTGTCTCCCTGTTGATTTATGCCGTCCCTGGCTTCCTTTCCCATGGATTGCTCATTGTCTGTGTGTCCAGCTTTTTTTCCCCAAATCTAATTATAGGGCCTTGAATTTTTCCAATTAGTTATTTTCTGTACTTCTATTCCTGTCTTATGAAACAGAGTAAATCTAGATTCTGTATTCCAGCATACCAGCAATCCCCACCCACTTTGCATTACCTACGCGGTTTGTAAACAGGCCTTTTGTGTCTTAATCCAAGGAATCGGTAAAGGTTGAGTAAGGCAGAGGCAGGTGCAGAGCCTGCCCTGGGCTTTCCTCCAGAGTCACGTCACACTGCATCGTCACTCTGCACAGATTTCCACAGCCAGCCCCCTTCAGTAGATCAGCTCACCTCCTTCTTTATTGAAATCCTGATACTTACCAATCCTATCGAACAAGGAGAAATGGTTCGTTTTCATCATGTTTTTAAGGAGCCAGTGCTAGTCACTGCTGATCGCTGTTTCTTTATCAGTTGCTCATAGAGTTTCTATGTACTGATTCCTTATAGAATCTACCCAATCAATATTCACAACAACCTGATGGTCTTAGAATTTGAAGATCTATTTTGCTATTTCTCTCTTTTCCTATGACTTTCACAGCTTATAAGAAATAGTGCTGTTTAGCTTCATCTCAAAAAACATTGCATTCTCACTGTGTGCAGAAAACATGATCACATTTTTAAGTTTGGTTAGGAACTTGGGATATAATTGATAAAGACCTATACACCTGACCTTTCTTGTGTGTCTCAGGTTTTAAAACTCTCTTAGTAGATTGTATTTCTTTTAATACTGAATTACTAGACTGTTTAACAGACATTTATTGAGCACCTACTATATGTGGGCATTGGCCGAGCTTTGGGGACAGCTGTACACACAGGCCCAAATCCCTGCCTCCATGGGGTCTGCAGTCCATTGGGTGGTTCAGCTGGGTCCCTCGGCTGGGGGAGGGAAGGGTGATGAGGGGAGCCGGGAGGGGAGCAGCCGGTTGAGCAGCACTGCTGTGTGCCAGCTGTGCCTTGTCAGGTACTCAACATGCATCATCTCAGTGAAATCCTAGAAAAACTACAGAGGGAGGAATTGTTCCTTCCACTTACAAAAAGAAACTTTAAATTACTAATTTAAAAATCACTTTTACTCTGTTCATTTTAAAGTGTTTTTAATCACTTAAATTTTTAAAAATGAATAAGGACACATTTCCTTCCATGGACCAAGCAAAGGGATCGACGGTGCGAAGTCCCCCCGAGAGAATCTGGAAAAGCCACCTTGTTTTTCCAGTGCGGCCCTCCTAACAGTGCTTTCCTTGTAGTTAAGTAATAGTCCTTTTGGTTTTTCTTTTTTTTCTTTTTTTTTTTTTGCCTGTTTATTTGTTTATTCACATTATTTCTCTTCAGAGGCACTATTATAAACATACAATACTTTCCGGTAAGAAAGTCCTCTACAGGCGGCACGCAGGCCTGTTGGGCGCCGGGGTAGCTGCTCCTGCCGCCGGGGGTGACTGGCCGCACCGGCTCCGAAGCCACTTGGCTGAACTAGAACAGCCGACACGTGTCCTGGTGTTCATGCCGCTGCGCCCCTAAGCAGTTGTTTCGTTTTCCAAGACATTAGAGTATTCTCTCCTGGTCTAATTGTACATTTTGGCAGTAAATTACTTCTTTTAAAATCTTTCACTATGCTGTACACCTGAAACTAATACAATATAATAGTGAATGTAAACTGGAATTGAAAAAAAGTTTTTTGATCTTTTTTCCAGACTCTGATATTATTTTTTCCTTAGACTTATGTAGCTTTAAAATTGACACTAAGAAACACTAATTTGACTTTATTGTTTTTCTAAGTGCATTATCATCAAGATAGAGAATGGGATATTTTCTTAGAACCTTGGGGCCGAAAAATATAGTCATGATTCTTGGAAGCTCCTTGGAAAAAACAGGAGGCTTATGATTCTAGTCATGGGAAGAAGAAGATAAAATGTTTTGATTTTCTCAAAAGTTTCCTGATATTTTGTGTATCAGGCAACCACAAAACAAGTTATAATCTCAGTTCTTAGAGAGGCTGTGTTGTTTGATTTCTGAGAATGTTCATAGCTCAATACAAAATATTTTCTGAGATATGCAAGTCATGGAATCCTGAAAACACTGATTGCTGGTGGTATGTTTTGTTCTGTATTGTCACAGAGCTGGGAATTTGGAGATTCTTTTGCTTCATTTGATTGAGAGTATAAATTATGATGATTGTTCATTCCTACCCTCAGCCTTAACAAATGTTTGTTGTGATGTACAATCATTTTTTTATGGGTTTTTTTTTTCCCTATTGAGTGGTTGTATTTAGTTTGTGTTATTTACTGTGTACATATAGGTGTTCAGTAATATATTCATAAGGTACTTATGTATTGCTAAATGTAGATATAGAAGAAACTAGGTGGAGTCTGCATAATTAAAAGATCGCTAAATGATACATATAATGAAAGAGTACCAGAAAAAGTAACCAGATTTTGGCTGGGGTCTCTGTGTATCTCCAGGAGGAAGAGGAGGGTTCAGAAGATGATAGCAACACAAAGCCAGACTTCATGGTCACTCTGAAAACCGATTTCAGTGCCCGCTGCTTTCTCGACCAAATCGAAGATGACGCTGATGGGTTTATTTCCCCAATGGATGATAAAGTACCATCAAAATGCAGCCATGACACCGAGCTCTCAAATCTGCACGCTGCTTCAATGTATGTTGTTTCGGTGGTGGTGGTAAAATATTTGGGTGAAAATAACTTTCCTAAGTATCATTTTAGTCTTTGTACTTAAACTGGCTGACAAAGCACAAGTGACTTAACCTGAATTTTTATTTTTAATTTCTGGCTCAGTTTTTTTATATGCATCTTCCTGTGTTATTTGAGGGAGCATCTGAGATCTTACTTAAATAACCAGACGGTCTGCGTAAATGGCATTGTCTAGTCCTTTCCTCCACGGCTCATCATGTAACACTCACTGAGCACAGATGTCACCTCTTTCTTTCAAATCAAAATATGACAAAGTATCATGGGATTTTACAAGCCCAAAAAATTTATAAGGAGCAGGATCCTTGCGGGAGCCCCAGAAGCCATAGCTGTTGTCAGTATTTCAGGGGATAGAAAGCATCCGTCTCTGCTGACCCTCAGTTCCCTCAACAGTTTTTGCCCTTAGGTGCTTCCCCTGTGTCCACAACCCCTATCAAGTTGCTCCTTCACATTACATTTATGACAATTCAGAGATTTAACTTCATTTTCTTGACTTTTTTTTTTTTTTCTCCTTAGACCAGAACTCTTGGAACACCTTCAGGAAGTGAGAGAAGAAAAGAAGAGGATTCGAAAGAAAATCCGTGATTTTGAAGACAATTTCTTCAGACTAAACGGAAGGTAGAGCGTGTTTCCCTTCCCCCTCCCCCTCTGCACGCAAGTCCTTTTTCTTTTCTGTCAGATCTGTGTGATGCGTCCAGGCGGGACCCGCACCGCACGCTCCCTGTCACCGAGTCCCAGGGTTGTGCCCAGGGCCCCTTCAAGGTTGGCCGTGACATGAGGTTTGTGTGGTCCTCCAGGAGGAAATGCTTCTTGGGGAGTGTCCAAGACTGATGCAGACTGAGCCAAGGTTGATAAAACCCACCTGTCACATCAAATTCTCATCTCAAATGAGCAGCTTGAAGCTAAGTTTCCAGTTGACAGCACTGGTTTGTTTTTGTATTTTGGCTTAAGAAACTAGGAGAAATGCGAAACGGAGGCCTCTTAACTCTTTTTTAAAGCACGTTTTAAAGGCCAAGATGATTGTTATTGAGTATGAATGAAAAATATGCAAGAAGCAGTAAATCCAGTGATAGGGTGTTTTCCTCCAGTGAGGTTTAAGGCATAAAGGAATCCGTAGGCAACACTGCGCTGAGGAATCGCCTCCCGCTGGCTGGTGACCACGCAGGGGGTCAGACCCGGGCCCCAGCAGGGCTCAAGGACAGAAAGGGATAGATTCCGATCTCCTACACTGGGGCTACGGTTTATCATTCTGAATTGATTTTACTTTAATCCGAACTACCTGGACAGTGTAAATATAGTTTCTCATTAAGTCCTCTTTGCTATTTCTCATAAGTGTTGGGGAATGAAAGGCCCATAAAAAATTAATGTGGGGACTTAGAATGTGTTGTATTCGTTTATTTCAATCACTGTCTATGTGTATTTTTAGGATTTCTGATTTGGATTTTTCCTGCAACGACTTTCTCAAGATTTCTGCATTTTATACCTAAATATTTGCTTTTCTTTCTACATATGTTGCAGGATATTTTAAAAATATAAGTCAGCAGATAAATCATATGTAAAATAATACTAATACCCAAAGACAAGCCAGGATTAATGTTTTGATGTGTTTTATTCTAATCTACTTTCTAGGCATATTTTTGGTTTGTCTGCTTATCTTTTTTTCCATATAATTATAGTCACATTATGTACAGGTATCCTATAAATGAGGAACTATATGTAACTGTATAAATGTCACAAGTGTTCATAAAGTATAATTGATGGGAATTAATCTTCATCGTAGAAGTTTAGAACTCTGAGGACTTCAGATGTCACAAAATCTGGTTCCATCATTTTGTTCCTAAGGAGAGCGGCCCCTCGGAGGGCACAGCTGGGTCTCTTCACGGCTCTGTTCCCTCACGCCCTGCGCCAAGGCGCCATCTAGAATCATTTCCTTGAACAGGGCAGGCCAGCAATAATATAAATTTACTTTTAGTTCATTGAACAAAGTAAAATAAGGCCCATGCTATTGCCTTTCCCATATTTGTTCTTTAGTAAGAAGGAAAGAAAGCCCAGTGCTTGAACGTTTGACATGTGCATTTCAGAGTGAAATGGGGAGCAGGACGGGTTCCTCAGCCCGCTCTCTCTCAGCCCGGGTGGCCGTGGGGGCCAGGACCCGCTCTGCTTTCATCCTGAGCCTTATGGTCCGTCGTGGAGACAGGGCCACTTAGCGCAGTTGAGGTGTATAAATAAGCTCTCGACACTGGTGCATATAAAAAAAAAATGCATAGAAAATCACTCTGTAAAGGCTTATTAGTATTATATTATTCAATCATTGAATAATTAGTATTATATTATTCTAAGACTAAGTTTATAATAATTAGAAGTATTAACTGTCTGTTGTTTAAAAAAAAACTACCTGTAAATAGTGGATGTACCAATTGCTAGATAGAAATTTAATAGTTTATTAGATAAAATATATAAAAGTGAGAAAGCATTAAGTATAAATAAAGGATTTTAGTGTATGAAGACTCTTAAGGTGAATTCATACCAGCAGCAGAGAGAGGAAATGTCTACATTTCTTAGTGCTTCAGGTCGTTCCACAAGATGCCTGAGTGACTGTAAAAGCTCAGTCTCGTGGTGCTGCTGGCGGAAGCTGTCCTCCACGGCTTGTCTAAACCCAGCTCCCGTCGTGATACCCAGTGGCGCTTGGCCACGCTGATTCTGCAGGTTGATAAAGTGCACCTTTCCGCAGGCTGCTCGTTCACCTGCTGGACAATATCATCTGGGAGACAGCAGACGAGCCTCAGCCCCCTTTCCCTTTGTTCCCATTAGAAATGTCCAGAAGGAAGACCGAACTCCTATGGCTGAAGAATACAGCGAATATAAGCACATAAAGGCGAAACTGAGGCTCTTGGAGGTGCTCATCAGCAAGAGAGACACTGATTCCAAGTCCATGTAAGGGGGCAGCCCCAGCTCCAGCAAGGGGGGCTGGTGATGCACCGTGAATTTGCCTCCCCTGGTGAACAGCAGCTCTGCAGAAACTGCCAGGCAGCCTCAGAGCTGGACCTGCAAAGCGTGTAGCCCTTCTGCCTCCAGGCCTTTGGGATCGGCTCAGGTTTCCATTCCTGCCGCAGAAACCACCTAGATGAAAGGCGGCAACTGGTCCTGATTTAGGAACTTTGTAAGGGAAAGGCAAGGTTCCCACGCACGCGCACACACAACACTGGTGTGGAAGCATCACTAACACTCCCGTGATGAGTCACTACATGGACACACACTCATCTACAGAGAGTGCACTACTCTTCCATGGGTAACTGAGAACCAGGAGGCCATTCTCAGTGTAACTGGGCTGAAAACCAGCTCAGGACTTCGTAGAGCAAACTTGCTGTGCAGGTCCCTGTTCTCTTTGGACCCTGTAAAGGGGGAACATGCATTGGAGCCCTATTTGCTGCCTTGGCCATTCCTGTGACCTTTCCACAGAGCTGCGCCTTCCCCCACTCGTGTGAATCGTTCCCTGTCAGCGCTCAGGTAGATGGAAGCTGCGTCTGCCAGAATGGCAGTGCAGACACCTCTTTGACAATGTGCTTCTGCGAGACTTCCTCAGCTGGCAAGGAACTGTGCCCCTGCAGGACTGGATCATTGGCAGAGGACAGAGGGAATATAGCAGACGCTATATTCACGCTGATTTTGAAATCAGGGTACAAGGTGCGGAGCCTAAAGAAGTCTTTCCTGAACATGGACTGCACTTACAATCTCAGATGTTAACGTCAGATGCTGAGCGAGGCCAGCATGCTAAGGCAGCCTGTTTGGGGCTCGGTGTCATGTTGCCACCAGCCACATGTAAAGGGCCTTGCTTAATTCATAGCTGAGGTGTAGAGCATCGTGAGAGAGAGAGCACCTGTGTCCTCAGCCACCTGAGTACTTACCAGAGTGTAAATTTTTTTTTTTTTTTTTTTTTTAAGTAAACCTGCACTAAAAATCCCCTAACTGAGGGGTAAATGTAGCCCTTGGATCTCAGCCCAAGGCAGAATCTCAATCACACTATTTTCAAGATCCTGTATAAAGAGAACATAATGGTGGGTAGCCAATTGTGATTATAATTTTTTCAAAGACTATGTCACAAAGCTGTCTATATTAGACATTATGGAGGGACCAGGGGATTTAGGACACCGCATCATTCATCTCTTCCGTGTGCTGCCACCACCTTGCGATCTGTTGTAACTTTTCAACCTTTTCTGTCCGCACCAAGGAAAGTGGTTGTGGTTCGGCCTGCCCGTCCTGGGCCCGCCTTGGCGCTGTGAGGGGGACCGGCGTCCGCTGGTGGCCGGAGCAGCGGTCGGCGCTCTGCCTTTTGAAGACAGTGTTGCAGGTTGGACAGGACCCCGGGACGCCTGCCTCCATGTTTACCATTTTGTGTGGTTTTATTTTAAGAAGAAGAAAAGAAAGAGAATGTAAAACTCTACTGACCAGTTGTCAGTTTTTAAAAAAAATGAGTTTTTGAGGAAGTGGTCAGATTGGACTTATAGCAGCATTTTCCATTGCCGAAGTGAGGGGGCAGCTGTCGGGTGAACGTCGTTTAAGTCGGGCAAGGGTGAGAAAGACGCCTTTAAATTTGCTCCTAAATACGTTTCTACAGGAGCATGAGCAATGTGTTGGAAGTGCCCTGGTTTAACCCACACACTTAAAGATGGCACCTAATACTACCAATGTAAATGTATATGAAAATATAGTTTGGTATTCTTTGCTCTACTGTTTACATTGCAGATTGCTATAATTTCAAAGAGTTATATTATAAATAAAATGATGCACTTTAGGACGTTTTCTATTTTTGAAATCTGAACATGAATCATTCACATGACCAAAAATTGTATTTTTGAAAGAAATACATGTCTAGTCTGTCCTTTGTAAGTAATTATTCTCTTAAATAAGCTACAATGTAAATCAAATCATTACCAGCTAACTTTTAAAGCGTATCTGTTTAAGAGTATTGTTTTGAAAATACTAACGTGCTACAGAATTTAGAAAGAAGAAAAGCTATATCAATGAGAAGCTTCTAAATGTTTTGAAATCTATTGTTTCTGCCAAAGGTAAATTAAGTAAGAGATGTATTCAGGAAACCTCATTCATATTTGTATGATTGAATAAAAGAAAACACCAAGTTATAGTAAAATAAATTGTGTACGGAATGTTATGTTTTCCTTTGGAATTCTAATAATCTATATACTTGTAGAATGGCGCCCAGATTCAGGAGGGGTGGTATTCACACTAGATCCTATCTGAAGACCTGTTAGTCAGAAGGTTCTGACGCCAGAAAATGCTGAGGTGAATTTGTTTCCACAGCAACCATTTCTGCAGCCCAGGATCGCGAGGCCCCGGGGGCAGCATCTTAATTGGCTTCACACAGAATACTCTGGACTGTGTTTTTTTCTTTGCTCTCTTGGGAACGTGTGTGTTTATTACCACCACATGCCAACAAAATAAATGTCAAGGGTTATTTATTAACAATAAGTAAAGGTAAAAGCATGAATAAACTTGATTATATGGTTGTAAAAATTAGAAGAGGCTTGTGATTTTCACAAGCATTTGCTTTTATCACGCTTAGTCTGGAGTACACGTTGAAAAAGATGTTTATATAAAGTACGGTATCATTACTGCATTTCATCTTTGAATCATTTTAGCTCAGATTCCACTATTCAGTCATGCGTGCGCAAGGTTTAGCCTGAAGGGCCTGCTTAGAAGTTCTTGAGACAGCCAAATTGGTCTTGAGCTGTTAAAACAAAGCCAGCCTAGTCTGTGATCTCCGATTCAGGGGAAATTTCCATGAAAGATCAAATCAAATTAGATTCCTTCCCTTCCGTTGCCAGTTTGCAGTCAGGATTGGTACTGCCGAGGCAGAGATCAGCCGTGTTTCTGTCTGTAACTTCGGTGTAACTTTTGCTCTGTCTCGTTCTGATGCGCACGGCGCAGTGGTAGGAGAGCCTGTTGCTGGGCGTGTCTGCTCCCAGGTGTGGCATTTCTAACCCAGGACAAGTGCCTCGGGTGTGCTTGTGTGTGAAGGTGATGTCCTGAGGCCAGCATTCTTGGAGTCCCTAGGGCTGAGCATTTGTTCACGTGGTCAAGTTCGGAATTCCTGGTAAGGTGACTAAGTTTATTATCAAGGTGTCAATGAATTTGGTTCTTTCTGGGGCTACCTAGTTCTCAGCAGACAGAATTGGGCCCAGTATCTAGACCTGATCACACATTTACAAGGAAAATCAAATTTTAAAGTTCGTTGATTAATTTTTTTGTTAGTGCTTCTTCATCGGATCGTGAAGATGCCATTTTTCTTAAGGGTCACCCCTTACTACGGTGGATGATGTCAATCATCGGGGTCATCCACTGTGAACTGCTCTGTGGAAAGCTGGTCGTAGTCTAAATTCTATCTTGCTTCTAAGAGGGGTCTCCCTGACACCCTGCCTCCTGGACCTTTTCCCAGGGGGTGGGGAGTGGTGGTTTCTGCACCAAGATCAGCACTTCCTTCATGTTCCTTTTCCGTGCCCACTTGGTGACATCAGCAGGGAGGGATAAACACTAGACTGCAGTGTCGAGGCACTGTTTCTCCTGTAGCTCGTGGGTTTCACAGAGCCCAGAATGTGCTTTCCTTTCCTTTCACTCCCTGCTCTCCCCGACCTGGCCCTCCAAGGGTACTGAAGAGTATACTTTGTCAAGCCGTGCATACCAGCCCTGCGTCACAGGGAGACCGTGGCACGCCCCAAACGTGTCAGTTTCCCGCGTAGAGATTGTGCCCCTGGACACTCCCCTTCTTCCGCTGTGGTCCTTCACAGTGGGCGTATGTAGACAGGCTGCGGTCGCTTACAGACTCACAGGATGTGGGTGGGAAGGACTCTGCAGGCCCACGGCTTCGTGTCGCCCCCAAGCTGCCGTTCTGTCTGCAGAGAATCTGCGTTTGCCTGGAACCGGGCCAGCGGTGGTCGCGCGCGCGGCTTGGGAAGTCGTTTTGGCGGATCCAGTTCTCCCTCTGAAAGGTCCTCTCCAGCCACGGAAATCTCCGGGAGTGGGTACAATTTTAGTAAATGAAGTGGGCCCAGAACAATGTTTACATGACATGTAAGCAGAAAAGTATTTGAAATAAGAATTGTCCCTTTTGGAAGTGTAAACTGAATGAAAAATGTTATGTACATTTTTGTACATGACCATATTTTGTATAAACTTAAATAAAATATTTTGAACTGTGCATGTGCTGACATTTTTGACGCGTGGGGAAGGGATGGGGAGCTGCCGGCCGTGGGGTCTGACCTCTCCCTTCAGTGAGCAGTGAGCTCCCCTGAGCTCCCTGAAGCGTCCAGTGGAGTCAGTTGTTCTGTCTCCCGGGAGGGCACCCAAGGGCAGGCGGGCTGGGCACGCGCTGGGCGTGCCCTGGTCACGGGTCGGAAAATGTGCCGCTTGCTCAGCTGCCTTGAAAAGGATCCGTGGAAGGGGCGAAAGGGGCAGAAACACAATCAGTAGCAAAAAAAAAAAAAAAAAAAGGTGTAAGTACACTTGCTCAGTCTGTTTTGCCATGGGGAGTAAATATATTAGCCATTTGCCTTATGAAGCTAATAAGGCCACCAGAACAGAGTCAGGAGAAAGGCCTGGGTCAGCGTGAAGGGGCCGCTTGGCCTTTGTGTCACTGCTCACACGCCAGGTGCGCCCCAGGAACCCGAGCGGCCTGCGGGCCAGCAGCCAAGTCCGGACCCACCTCCCCTGAGCCCCCCGCCTGCGGGTAGTGAGGCCTGAGAGAGTTCAACCTGCACACGGTACATGTGCCGTGCGACAAAGTAAATGTTAAAATTGTTAAATCTGAAATTTAAATTTAAAAAAAAAGTGAAGGCTTAGATTAAGGACCTTGTCCTGACGGACACCGGGGTTCAAACCGATGCCTGACTTCAGAGTACAAAGACTCAGTGCTGCCAATGATGGTGCCATGCGATGCCAGTCTGCCAAGACGCAATAATTTCACTTTGGAAACACTGGGTCCAAAATAATACAATGTAGGCAGAAGTGGCAGGCAGCGCGGAACGCCCCCTCCATCTTCATGAGCCATGTCTGATGCTGTCCCTTGGAGGATCAGAAAGTGATGCTCCCAAGTTCACCAGGTCCTACGGCTGTGACAGAGCCTGGTGGTCCCCTGAAGCCCCTAGCAAATGCTCCGAACCCTGTGATAGCCTGTGTTACTGGGGACTTCCCGAGGCGGGGTTTCAGAACGGGGACCTCAACACAGTGAGGGGAGAGGCAGTCGCTTGCAGTACTTTCAAGGACCTCATTATTACCTTTCTAGAATCCTGCAAGACAAAATATATTCGTTATCCCAACGTTGGGTCAGCTTGTCAAGGCTATACATACACAGTAGAATTTCATATTCAGTGAAAGCCAGAAGTCAAAATTCCCAAATGCATTTTTAGAATCCTGGCTGGCAGGCAGAGGAATGGGGTTTGGCAGGAACTGGGGTTGTTGACAGCTTGGTTCTCACTTTTCCTTTCCAGCAACAGGACTTACACCCAAGGTGTCTCAGTGCTGAGCGGCACCTGCCCGGGGAATGCAGCCCAAAGCGAAACCCCCACGAACGGAATCTGAGACCACCCAGACCTCTGAGTCTCAGTGGGGCCTGTGTGTATCAATTATATGTCACTCTGAATTCCGAAACTCAAAATATTTTTAGATGTTTACATTTTTTTCTTTAATTTCTCAAAAGCCATTCAAAAATGCTTGGGAATCCTTGTCATGATACTGGTTCTACAGCTTTAAGGACTCCTCGGTAAGATATTTTGAGACATTGTGATTTTTTTTGTAACTGCTGCTTTTAAAGAATTTAAAGGTACTGAACAAGGTTAGACACTGGGGAGGGAAGTGAGAGAGAGTGAAGCATCTATTCCTCTCTGGTAGCAAACAGCAGTGCTTCTTAAATATTTATGTGGTTCGGCCAATGTG